AGCGCAGCGAACGCCCGTGGGAAAGGCGGTAGAAGGTGGAAGGTGCAAGGCTGGCTCGCTCGGAGAGAAGCGCCCGAACAAGGAACCCGCTGCGCCCGGGCCACCTGGCGGCTGATCGCAGCTTATGTAAGGTGCCTGGTCACTTGACCGCTGCACAAATATCAGTGTGCGTCTCGCTTGCTGCTTAGCTAATCGCCTGGCAGAGTGCGCCCTCAGACGGAGTATTCCCCCCATATCAATCTGATATGCCGTCCCACAGCCAGATACGAATTCTGGGCCTATGCAATTGGCAAGGTACTGGCCTGCAATGTACCAGATGCTGGTAGACCTTATTACGCCCCTGCATGCTATGCTTAGCCATCACGGATCCCCAGTATACTCCGTACTCCGTACGACCCCTGTCAAGCCATGATTAAAACGTATTAAGCATTGATCTACCGGCCCAGTTGATGAGCATTGAGTGACTGCAAAGTGGAATCAAACAGGCATTTCTCCAACCCCGAAAGCATCGGTCGTGGTGTATAGATAGATCTTCTGAGCCAGTGACATCGAGCGGCCGGATTTACTTTGCTGAGGATCGAAGAAACTACATGTACGGAGTAGGGCGAACCGAAAAGATATCGCCTCGATGTTTGCAATCTATCATTCCAATCCCAGGTGATTTACTTGGTCACTCATTTTTCAAGCGCGAGGAACTGAGCGATTAGGACAGGCGTCTGTCCATATGGAGGAGAAGGGACACAGTCATCTCTTATTAATAATCTCCTGCTGTCCTCGACTCCATTGACAAATGTGATGCCCTCATGCTCCTGGCCGTGGTTCCCAGCCCGGCTGCTCGGATCGCAGGTTCTCCACTGGCCACGCCGGCCCGTGGCCCAATAAGCCGGCCGGAGTGGCAAACTGCTTTATTCTCAATTCTGTCGCGCACAGAAGCCAGAAACACGCCAATCGACGATTTCCCTCCGCCCCACGGCCGGCCCAGCGGCTTCCGTCCTGGTGTGACATCGACTCCCTGCATGATTATTTTACAGGACTACGGTCCTTCTCAACGGCTTCGATCAATCCATCTCCGCCCGTCACCGTTTCCTGCCGGTTCCTGCCTGTAGGCCATCTATATATGCACTCCGTCCGTCGTTCTGTGCTTTAATTGCGCCGACCTCTCGTTGCCCCTGGGCTTGGAACGCCTGACTGCCCTCGCAGGAGAGCCGACCCAATCCATTCGAACCAATGGATATCGTCCTGGAGATTTTCGATACCTTCGTGGGGGATCGCATATATGCTGCGCTCCTCCCGGCCTCCCTCTCTTCTTCGACAACTTTCCTCGCCGGCAAGGATGACGCCAACAGCACATTGTCGTTCTTCGGCGACGCGCAGTCCTATGTTTATGAGCCCGCCAGCAGTTACCTTTACCTCGAACCGTCTAAATATGCCTACATGAGCGCGTGGCCGAGGGACAACATCTACCGACAGGCCATTAGTCTTTATTTTATTACTTGGTATGCCGCTGTCTGCACGGTTTGCGCGGAACCGCCTGCTAATCTAGAAACCAGGATTTTTGGTCTCCTTGTTTACTTCGTCTGTGCAACCCTGTCGTACATTTTCGTCTTCGACAAGACCACATTTAAGCACCCCAAATACCTCAAGAATCAGATTCGTCTTGAGATCGCCCAGACCATGAGATCGTTGCCCGTCATGGCCTTGCTGACCGTGCCGTTTTTCCTGGGCGAGGTCCGAGGATATGCCAAACTCTATGACACTGTCGCCGACGAGCCCTTCCCTTACTACAGCATTTTGCAGTTCCCCATCTTCATCGCCTTCACCGACTTCTTCATTTATTGGATTCACAGGGGCTTGCACCATCCCCTTGTCTACAAGACTCTCCACAAGCCACACCACAAATGGATCATGCCCACTCCCTATGCCTCTCATGCCTTCCATCCGGTCGACGGCTGGGCGCAGAGCGTTCCGTACCACGTCTTCCCCTTTGTGCTTCCTCTCCAGAAGTTCGCCTACGTTTTGCTCTTCGCATTCATCAATTTCTGGACGGTCATGATCCATGATGGCGAGTACATCGCCAACAGCCCCGTCATCAATGGCGCCGCTTGCCACACTATGCACCACCTCTACTTCAACTACAACTACGGACAGTTCACTACCCTCTGGGACCGTCTGGGAGGCAGTTATCGCAAGCCAAACGAGGAGCTTTTCCGTCGCGAGACCAAGATGGCGCAGGAGCAGTGGGAAAAGCAGACCAAGGAAATGGAATCCATCCTCAAGACGGTCGAAGGCGATGATGATCGCCAGTATGTCAGCGATGAGGCGAAGAAGAAGAACCTGTGATCGGGAGAAGCCCCTTGGCAAATCGACGGACGCATGTGCCGAACAATCCTCTTGTGCACAAGCAAGTGATAATTGGCCCAACGGCAGGCCATTCATTTTGCTGAGAACCGCACGTTCTTGTGGTGGCGTCTTATGGATGCCTTACAAGAAGCTCATCCCAGGACAGCTGTCAGATGAGGGTGGGTATTTTGGACTTGGGTCACGGATCTGAGTCTGCGATGCGCTAATTACGAACTTATGCCGGCACCTAATAAGTGACTGTATCATTAATATCATAGCCCCTTGTAATTACAACCCTTTCCCTGCCTCAAGCATTCGAAGTTTTGCCTTTCTTGTTTTTTTTTTAATTACGTGTCCATTCATCAAGGATGCTGTTACTCAAAACGCTCATGAATGGTTGTCGGACAGCGATCGTTCCCCGAATCTCATTGGATGCCAGCTATGAGAGTCGATTTATCAAATTGTATATAGTGGAATGGATGGAATGGTTCGATTTCGATGTCACGACGCTTCGGTGTATGTCCCGTGTAGCCGTTTCCTGCTTTCTTCCCAATGGCTGGTGGACATTGTGCGTTGTTCTGCCTATGTAAGTTTTCCGTGATGCACTCCTCTCAGGAATAATGTTTTCATAAAGGTACCCACTGTCCGAGATATGTCGAGGTAAGTGGATGCGTCAGGTCATTAGTTTGTGCCAAGAGCTGCAGCAGTGTGAAACTCAAATCAGTTATTCTAAGATGCTGTAATCTACCTAATTCTATGTTCACACGAATTTCAAAATCGACGTTTCCATCACACTCTTTCACCAACTACAGCTTGCTTCCGGCCTGGACCGACGAAGAGGGCAGGAACCAGCCCATGTATTTTTGCTGCAGAGTCGGTGTCACTCCAGTCTGAGGGTGAGCCGGCTCTTTGCCGTTATTGAAGTATTTCGCCAAAGCAATGTCCGCATGCGCCTCAGCGTCATACCCATAGACTTCCAGAACGGTCTGCGGGTCTCCATACAGGTTGCTGCTGCGGATGTAGTATTTACCCTCCAGCTCTGGCGCCATCACCGCGTCACGAGCACGTTGCTCGGGACCATCCGGCAGATGCCAGATCGCGCCGTTGATGAAAGAAACCTGCTGCTTCTCGTACGCCTTGGGCATCCGTTCCTTTTCGTAAAGGTTAACCGCCTCACGGAAGCTCAGCTTGCCCTGCACAACGGCTCCGATGCACTTCGCCAGGAAGGCCCCGTCTTCCATCGACGTTGCGGCTCCCTGGGCCATGTGGTTGACCATGGAATGGGCCGCATCACCCATGAGGACAACATTCTTCTGGGGCGAGGACCAGGACTTCAACGGACCAGTCACCATGAGAGGCCACCGAGACTGTGAGAAGTGAAGAAGGTTAGTCTTGGATCTCTCTCTCCATTGGATGAATCCCGCAGTGAAGGAGCAATTCTTACCGTCTGAGGAATCATATCGACGATACGCTTGATGCGAGGGTCAAAGTCCTTGTATTCATTGCGCAACTCCTCGATAGGAATATTGTACTGGGTGGCCCGCAGTTTCTCGGGCCGATGATGAGACAGCACGAGGTTCAAGACTTTACCGGCGCTGATAGGGTAAGTGATGATGTATGCGTTGGGGGCCATCCAGACCTCCATGGTGAGCTTCTCGACCAGCTCTTTCGCGACCGGGTCCTTGCGAATCTGGTCCATGGGCACAATGGCGCGATAGGCGCAGTTGGTGGTAGGTGGCTCGGGGGCAACGTCGGGAAACAGGGTCTTCCTGACAATGCTGTTGATTCCATCCGCACCGACAAGGAAATCAAAAGTGTACTTGATGCCCTTGTATGTCTCCACAGTGACTTGGTCGCTGCTCTCATAATCGACGCGGACGATCCGAGAGTCGATGTAAATTTGGGCCCCGAGCTTCTTCGCGATCGTGACCAGACCCTCGTGGAGATGGGCACGATGAACAACCCACCAGGGACGATTCAATGTGCGCTCCAAGACCTCAATTCTGGTGTGTCCGACTCGAGTCCCGTCTTTCCGGCGCATGTTCAGCTCCTCGAACTGGACCAGATTCTCTCCAATCACATCGGCGACCCCCCATCGTTGCAGCAGAACGGAGACATTCGGGGTCATCTGAATACCAGCACCGATCTAACGATGGTCACTCATGTTAATATTTTCCCGGTTCCCACCTCCGGTTCCTGTAAGGACTGGATAACGAACCTCACCGAGCTTCTCGGCTGCCTCGAGCACGGTGACGCGAGCTCCAGCACGACGGAGTGCAATGGCAGCGGAGAGGCCGCCTAGGCCAGCTCCAACTATACCGACATGGATATCACGAGGAGCCTTCTTGGAAGTCAGCATTGCCCCGCTTTTCAGGGAGACAGTTCCAAATGCATGCATACCATGATGTGGTTGTGACGAGAGAACACAAAAAGCAAACAGTGTCTCTAAAAGTCTTCCTTTGCTTGGGACTTGAAAAAAAGGCTTGTTTCGACTTGTTTGAAGGACGCGATTGTCAAGATGATTACATATAGCTTATCAGCTACATACACAGATACAGTATGGCAGCACTGCTGGGGAGTTAGGGTTGCTTTCGGGGACTTCGGGTAACGGTCTCTCGAGGTGGATGGACGTTCGAGTATCCATCCAGGAAAGCCGAGGATAAAGGCAATCAGCACAGCGGCAAGCGGCGTATAAGCTGAGAGTCCTCAGGTTTACGTACGTGCTATATACAGTTGTTGTAGATAGTCTTCATCTCATCGTATACCACCTGTCCGGCCGGTGCAATATTACCCAAAATGGTGCTACCTCGCCAGACCTTGCGCGTGCCTCATCTGGGAGGAATCGACGTGGGCTACCGCCTCTCGTCGTCTCGTCCCGACCCTTCCAAGCCAACGCTGGTCCTGATCATTCCATTCACGACCACTGTCGACTACTATCTTCCCGAATTCGAGAACCCGGCGCTTACGGACAAGCTGAACCTGCTTGCCATCGAGCCTCTGGGACATGGCGCCACTAAAACGAAGAGCGAGACCTGGACCTACTGGGACACGTCCATCATGGCCCTGCAGCTCCTGCAGGCTCTCGGAATTGACCGAGCGTTCGCCATGGGGACATCCCAAGGGGGCTGGATCGCGGTGCGGATGGCACTGTTGGCGCCTGAGAAAGTTGGATCTCCCTCCCGTACCTAGAGAATGATGTCATTCCGTTTTGCTGACCGATCTTTCCACCAGATACAAGGACTCGTGCTTATCGGCACGTCCATGGACTCGGAATCTCCCAAGAGCCGGGAACTAGGTTGCTGGGACGGCCCGGCGGCCACTTCAGGCTTCGTCAAGCTCGGTGGTGATCCCACGCCGCAGCCGGCAACCTTTGAGCCCGGCGACGACTACTACAATTTCCTTATGGACATTGGCTACGGCAAGAATGTCGACGCCGCCAAGAAAGCGTTCTGGGTCAACACCATCAGGAACCATTACCGGGGGGATGAAGGCAAGAAGCGGATCTGTATGGCAGCGATTAACCTCGCCAGCCGAGATGGATTGTATGAAAGATTGCCTTACGTCAAATGCCCGGTTCTGTGGTTGCAGGTGAGTCCATGTTATCGCGACTCTTCATTCTTGGTGGCCAGGAGAGGGCTGACGGTGATACCAGGGCACCGACGACGTCGTGTTCAGCGTTGCAAATGCCCAGGAGGGCATCAAGTACTTCACCAATTCTCCGGAGGCCAAGCTCATTCCGATGGAGAAGGGGGTCCACTTCCTTAGCTATACTCATCAGAAGGAGCTGCACCGCGACATTCTCGAGTTTACTGACCGCTGGAGACGCTACACTGTTAAGCTGTAAACACGAAATAAGTATAGTTGGAGGATTCGTGTTACTTTCTAGTCTGTCTCTTTTGCTTTTCGCAACGTTGGAGAAACTAGCAATTTGCCATGAATGAAATGATACGTCTTGATTCTGAGTAAATTCCGTATATAGACCATTATCCCTCTCGAGTTAAGCTTCGCACAAGTGCATACTTGGGCGTTCCGAAGTACTTCGACCTAGGCTACCCCGCAGGATCAGAGACCACGAACCAATGCGATTGTTCTGGCACGATTCTCCGCATCGAATCCATGCATCTACAATTTGAGGCCGTATGAGGAGAATGGCTTACTCGGCCGGATCCGTCGGGCCGGGCTGCCGACGGGTCGTTCGTTGTCTTCCTGTGAGCAATCTGAGCCTCTCTCAGCATCCTCGGGCGTTGAACGCGTCGTCGCGCGTATGCTAGCACGGTATGGTGTGCAAGTACGAAAGGGCCACCGAGATGGCTACAGAAGTAGGCTACAGAAGTAGGCTACAGTATTCTTGGCTGTGAGCCTGCTGCGCCTGATAAAGATCGCCGTATTTTAGCTCTAGAAAGCCCGATCTCGCCGTCCGGGCGATGTAACTCACACCTAGGTTAATCCTGCATAACATCAAGAACTCCCGGCCCCGATAACCGGTGGCGAGCATGGTTCTCCAAATCAGGGTGGTATCTGCGGTGCGGGCGACGAAATGCGGGGGTTCGGGCCTTTTGTGGAGAAGATCGCGCACCGCTGGAACCTTAACGCGACCAAGTTATAAGAACCCCAGAGCTTTCCCGAACTCCCCGTTCTCTCCTCCAGGAACCCCAGAATTCTCTCGGCTCGCGTTTGACTCCGGCAGAGGGCCTGACCTACTCGATCCGGAAGTTGAAGGAGGTTCCCTGCTGACGTCCCGAATTGGAAGTCCAGGCCGCCATGCCGCCGTCCTTCAGCGACAGCGACCGAGCGTACGCCGTCCCCCCTTCTGCCGCAGTAACCGGCCGCAACAGTCCTCCCCAGAACAACAGCAGCAGCAGCAACAGCAGCAGCAATAACAGCAATAACAGCAATGCCAACAATGCGGCCGACAGCCCGAACAATAATAATCCAATGCCACCCGCCAAACGCCGCCGGGTAGCCTTGGCATGTGGCACGTGCCGGAACCGCAAGTCACGAGTAGGTCCCAACCCGCATGGCAGTTGTCGCTTAGCCTCCCGACGTCATGGTTGGCCTTAATGTGCGTTGGGTGAATTTCTAGAGTAGAGATTCTAATGACCTCTTCATCATCTAGTGTGATGGAAGCCGTCCAAAATGTTCCATGTGCCGGGAGCTGGGGTGTGACTGTGTATATCAGCAAGTCGGGAGTTCTCCCAACCTCACTGTCGGGAAAGAGTATTACACCACCTTCCGACCTATTACTATCCCACCACCCCTCCCATTCGCAGCAGTCTCTAACCTCTCTGCTTGTCCCGTCGTAGCTATGTCGCCCAGCTCGAACACCGAATCGAACAAATCGAGGAATTCATACGGCCGCTGCGTGAAGCGCGAGCTGAAGCCTCATTAGCCAAGCCTTATGCTCTCCATGACGAGACAAATCTCCCCCGGCAACACGAGGCGTCTGCAGGCGTCGACAGAACGTCGACCTCGCAGGTGCCTCCTCATGCGGTGAATGCAAATGGGCCCGAGATCGGCGAAGTAGATAACTCGGAGAATTCCATCGATGGAATGGCCGCGATCAACTTTACAGATGAAGAGGATTGTGGTTTCTTCGGTACGGTTCCATATTATATTATAGTATATTAGTTGTTCGGACGGCTAATGGAATCTTAACTAAAGGGCCTTCGTCGAATATCGCCTTCATGCGCCATATTTCACGTGCCATCACCCAAGTAAATAGCCGCAGGTCTTATGTGCCATCGGTCTCCCCTAACGATAAGTATGGCGGTGGCATGATGAGTGTCTCTCGATCACAGCCTGCACCCGAAAGCGACAGCACGAAGCGCAACTCTCGTGGGGTGAACATCTATGCATTACCCTCCGAATCTCGGACCTGGTATCTCATTCAGAAGTACTTCCTCAAGACCGGGCAGCTCCTGCCATTCATCCATGAACAATCTTTTTGTGAGACCTATTTTCAGATGAAGAGGGACAATTTCACAAAGGTCAGAAGAACGTGGCTTGGCCTGCTTAATATCGTCTTGGCAATCGCGACAAGTTTGTGCAATGACGGCGAGATGCCTGCCGAGAAACGGATCCAAGAGTCAGACGTCTATTATCAGAGAGCGAACGCATTGTGCGACAGAGAGTCGAAGCGGAATACCAGTCTCGAGATGGGTACGTGTACCGTTCCATTGGGAATCTACATTCAGGAACAGAGACTGAACCATGTTTAGTACAGTATCTACTCATCCTCGGACAGTACCTACAGGGTACTCAGAAATCCGTCCAAGCATGGAACACCCATGGTCTCGCGATCACTGCAGCTTTTCAGCTAGGTCTCCATTCACCGGATGCGAATCGAGGATTCTCTCCATTGGAACGTGAAATTCGGAAGAGAACATGGTTTGGTTGTGTACTCCTGGATCGGTACATCCACCAGTCACCATATTTGTTTTCTTGGTAGAATTTTTTTTTTTGGCTAACCGGACATTTAGAACGCTGAGTATGACGTTCGGTCGCCCATGTATTATTCCACAGTCATACGTGAAGTTGGAAATGCCACTACATGACATGCAGATGCTTGGCCAGTCTCCTCAACTGGAGTCCGGCCCGTTCGCAGATGGATGTTTCTTCACAGCCGCTATGTAAGTCATGGATCAAGGCTTGCTTTCACAATGTCATGGCCACTAATGATTCATTCCAACAGACAACTTTATGTTGTGATGTATAATGTCATCGATACATGCTATGGGCAGAATCTTGGCTTTGACAATTCCCAGACGACTTTCCATATCGTATCTCGGGTGCTCGAACTGGACCGTCAGTTGGAAGAGTGGCAACACCAGCTGTTGCCGACGTTGGGGCTCTACGTTACTCAAAAACCCTTGACACCGGCCGATATCGAGAATATGAAACCAGAAAGCTTAATTTTTGAAAGGTTTAACATCGTGCTCTCCCTCCGCTATCATAACCTCCGCATTCTGCTTCACCGCAAATTTCTCGAAAAGTTCTTGGAAACGGCCGGGTCAGAGGACAGCTCAAACCCGGAAAAGAAGATCTTGCGGCAAGTGGGGATCAGCAGCGTCCAGAATTGTGTCGAATCCGCCGTCATAATCATATCTACAGTGCATACTATCGCTTCCTCATCGGGATGGCAGCGAGATCTTTTAGGTGCATGGAATTATTCTCTTTACTACAGTATGTTTCCGTGACGGATTTTTTTTCTTTCGTCCTCTCTTCCGCCCTCTTGTTCGTTGGGCTGACAGAAAGCAGCTTTCAACGCAGGACTGGTTATTTTTGGAGCCCTTCTTGTCTCGTCAAAGGAAAGCGCTCACAACCCAGCTGCGTGGGAGACCGTGGAACGCTCTCGACCATATTTGGACTTAGCAGCGGAGGCATTGCGATGTCTGGACAGCGGCAATCGTGTCATCGAGCGGTGTGTTGAATACCTGAGCCAGCTTTCATTGGCGCTAGCTGCTTTGAGTAAGTACCTTACCTAGGTTATTATCGGACAAATGTGCCGTGAAGAGACTCCTAGCTAACAATAGAAATCAACACAGCTTCCAATGGCACTCCCTCTTTCAACAATAATGGCGGTTTAGTGGGAAACTACGCCAATGGAAATGGCTACCCAGCAGGGATGGTCTCTCCACCAATCGCTCAGACCGCCGCCGCATCCGCGAACATGGCGAACCGGGGCAATCCGTTCCCTCTCAGCCAATCCCCCGTGGGGATCGATCTCGGCGAATTCATGATTGACAGCGACCTGGACTTCCTGGGCAGACTGTTTTTCGACCTCAGTCGAAACGGAGACGGTACTCAGAGTCAGGGAGCTGCTGGTGGCTTGAATGGCTCATCTTCTGCTGCTGCTGCGGGACCAGTCGACACGACTAACTCTGCCCATCCCCAGCAGAGCCCCTATAACGTCTAATAATTCAATTGTTGCAGAGGGTGATCAATTAGTTAGTTGCCATAGCTGTGCTATGATGATAACGATGTATATATATATATGAAACACAACCAACTTTTTCTTCTCACTACCTTTGATAATTATATTATAGGAACCAGCGGCAGGAATAATAATACAGCAGCGATGTCGATATTCATTTTTAGTGAGTTACCTATCATACCCGACCCTACCTGGTGTTTGGTCACTACAGGTGCAATCGATTTATTTTATCTATTTTGTCGCGTTGCTCTTGAGTAGTGCAGCAACCGTGTACGGAGTAGATAATAATTCAAATTCCTTTTTTCTTCCTTTTGATATGTATATTTTTAAATTAATATGTAGAGAAAAACAGGATGATCAATGGAGCACGGAATCGGAAAAAAAAAAGAACTTGTGATAAAACAGATAAGAGATACAACAACCATAACACAACTAGCTAAATTAGTTTAGTCCAGTCAGTCATTCATTCACCTGCCCCATAACAATTCTTTTTTTCTTTTCTATAACACAGTACAAGAACCATGGAGATGAATGAAGCACATAGAGATTGACAAGAAGCAGCTAGTTAGCTAGCTAGCTACCTAAGCTGCTTCGGTTTTTTTTTACTTCCGTGCGATAGAAGACTGGTATTGGAATTGATGAATCGGCCATCACTCAAAGAAAGAGAAAGAAAGCGACTCCTGCAACAATTCAACAGATGAAACAGCCTTGCATATAGTAAGCTTGCCTAGTACAGGGCCTGACAGACCGGCCCGAGGTTTTTCTTTTCAAGAGACGTCCGCGACGTCCATATCCCCGTTGGCTGTGTTATCAACCGTCTCTTGCTGAGGTGCTTCAGGCTGAGGGGGAACAGGCGCAACAGTTCCCACTGGGGTGGCATTCGCCATCGCTTCGGAAATAAAAGACTCCTCTACTGCAGCTTTCCTTCGGAACACCCTCAGCCAGCGATGAGCCCAGTGACGGATGAGTTCGTTCTCAGTAAACGTATCGCCCTCGTTGCTCCTCTCCATGAGCTCATCGTTACTGCCACCTGCCACGGATACAAGAGAATCTTCGATCAGGGTGAACAGAGTCTGCATGTCACCCTTCTCGCGTTTCAAGGTCTCATCCAGAACACTAAGTTGGGGCTCGTACAGACCAGGCTGCGTGCGGGCCAGCACGATCTGTCGCATTCGATTTGTGACCTTTCCGACAGTGGCAGAGACCATTTCGTAAATATGCGTCTTCGCGAGGATTTTCCCGGCATCCAGATTGTCTACTAGCGCCCATTCAAGAACCGAGAGCGGCGTTAGGATCGTATAATTGAGAAGCTTATCAACGATATTTATGCCGATTCCGGGCTGATCTGCCCAGTATTCCATCACGGAGGTGATGATCTGTCGACGGGCCGTGGATGAGCGAGGACCAATGGACAGTAGCCGCTCCTTATTCCGCTCGATACAAGATAGCACGTGCGACAAAGACTTCGCTCCGACATAACAGATGGAAGTAACAAAGGCGTCAGTCGAAGGGATCATGGGGTCAGAGACACCATGCTCTTTCGCCTGTTCCTCAATCGCGTTTATCACGGGCTGGATTTCTTCATCTGATGCTTTCTTGCGAATAAGTTGCATGAGCTCCCTGCCCTCTTTGGCGTATGGCGTTGCTTTGAAAGCCAATCAGCTTAAGTCCTTAATCGCCGACAAGGGAATCAGATCACTTACTGTCAGTGTCGTATTTGAAGTCTGGAGTATCCTTCTCTTTGCCTTCTGGTATCAAAGCATGGTAAGGTTCAGGCAAGGTCCCTTTAATGCGTTGGGCGAAACTGAGGCGAATTTCCTTATCCAATGCGCCCGAGATGAAAGCCATCTTGGGATGAACTGCAGGCAGTTCCAAATCATCGATCCTGAAAATGGAATTAGTAACCTCCAGGAGGCACCGGTGAAAAAAAAAAGGCGATGCCATAAAACTCACCATTCAGTCCATTTCCAAGTGAACCCGAAGTTGCTCAGGTGGTGAGAAAACCAATCCAAGAAGCGATGGGACAGCTCCAAGTCCATTTTCTCGACATTGCGATACAGGAACCGGATTGCACGCCCCAGACTAGGAGCGATAGCAGCAGGCGCGATCTTGCAGCACTCTGTGAGCACTGAGTGGTAGTAGACGAGTTTGTGCTCCGGGCTGGGAAGCTGGAAGAGCAGTGAGAAGACAGCGTCCACGACGACATCTTCGGGTTTCCAAGTTGGACGGCCAGCTGGAACCTCCCGCAACTTGTCGAACGGTGTTGCGCGCTTTACAAAGGTGTCTGGATCGAAAAAACAATCGACGTCAATCAAGAACTTGGCCGTGGCAATGCGATTGAAGTCCAGAATATTAATGGTATCGACAATAGCGTCCCTCAACAAGGATGAGGTAACATCGGAGGTTGGAGGAACTGTTTCGATATCTTGTCCGGCATAGACCGAGAAAAAGATTTCCGGGTAGATAGCTCTAGGGCCACTTTTGACAGGATTCGGCACAGTGACGGCAGGGAAAGGATGCTTTGTCGCCGTCTCTAAAGGGTTCATATCATCGCTCTCTTGGCGAAGTAGTTTCCAAGGACGGGGGAGACACTTGAGTTCCCAATTCCGATTCGCTTCTTCTTGCAGTTGACTTTGCAGCAAAGCTATGGAACTCTGTATGGGTTCCGGTCTACCCTCTTCCACTGCAAAAGGATCGACTAGTGCTACGAGAGCATGAGGGGTAGAAGCAATGATGTCGGTTTTCTCCAAGAGTGCAGACGCCTGGGTTTCGTAGCCGGATCCTGAAGATGCCATCACATAAGGAATCGTGAAGAGTATAATCTTGACAAGCTCGAGACCCAAAGACTAGTGGCAATAGGACATCAGCATGTTGAGACTCTTGTGTACGTGCAATACCAGGTTTACTTACGTCCTCTGAGGATGCTGTCTGTAAATCAACAGCACGGGCGAAGAGCTCCTCCAGTATGGGGAAAACACCGTCGCCATCGAATATACCATGGAGGCAGCTTAAGAAGCGCAGGATGAGTTTGGTATCGCGCCAGGCTCCGACGTTCAAGGAGTTCTGGAGAGCTTCGCCTGCCTTCTTCAGCACTTCAGCTGCGACCTCTGACTTTTGCGCATTGACAGCCAGGACAACGGCGGCAACAAACGGGATCTTGAAGGGTTGCTCGAGAACCCTGGTGGAATCATTCGAGTCAGTTATATGCAAAGCCAGCAGAGGTTTCGAGATGAACCTACAGTTGAATGACAAGATCTACAAAGCCTTCTCTGAGTCCCTCATCTTCGTGGTTTTCCGCCACCGTTTTCGCGATGCTCGCGGCGTCGTCTTCCGGCCTCCGCGCTGCCTGCTGGAGAAAAAAAAATCTTGTCAATACAGTGTCAAAAACGCCCACTATCACACCTCACCAAACTAGGAGCACACATACCGATTCCGCAATCATCAGGAGCTGTCTCCGCACCTTGGCACCAAGCGGTTCCTCATATCGGCGCCTCTGCGAACGGCGGTCGTAATCATCCTCATCTGCAGGACATTGTTAATGCAAAATGTTTGCATTGCCTTCTGCCTTCTGACTAGTTAAGTCGTACCTCTGTACCGCCGCTTCCGTCCGCCCCTGTGGCCATGGTTTCGGCGTTCGTAGTCGGCCATTGTGAAAGTAAATCGACTTGAACAAAGCACTGGGAGAGCAGCAATGCAATCTCCACAAAAACCAGACACAATATATGTTCAAGGGGATCGAAGATTGATTTTCCGGGAAGGCGAAGCTCGGAAGCTAGCTAACCTGCGACTGTGGACCTCGAAGCTCGGGATTAAGTCAGAATGCATGCAAAGACAAATTTGACTGGATCAGATACCTGAAAGCAGAAACCAGTCCCTGCGAACTCTCCCAAATGCTCCTTCACCAGGCACAAGGACCACCGCGAGTTGATCCGATGAACTTTGCGCGATGGTCTTGTGTCGTTGGTTTTAGAGACCAATTTTTGTCCCGCGCGACAACTGCGAATCAACAAGATAAGTCAAATAAATCCAGAGACAGCGTCTGCATGGCAGGGGTTCGATCAAAAGACGTGCCGGATCGCAATTCCAGCAGCAAGAAGCAGCGCTGCAGCTGTCCGATCCACGAAGAGAACAGGACGCAGCGAACTCTCGCGCTTTAAGACGCGCTAATGCTAATTGGGTCGGGCAGGGAGACCCGCCTGCTGGAACTGGCGTAGCGTTGATTACGCAGGACCAGCCCTGCTGACATCACTTGTTTTTTGCTCTTATTAGGAACAGCCAGACAGACATTTTATTAAACCTGTTCTGAGAAGAAAGGAAAGCCTTAAGACAATATGGAAGCGGTAGCTGCATTATCCCTTCTTCATGTGGCAAATCACCTTTTCTGGCCCAAGGAGTACTGGCGTTGAGGTAGCCTTTGCATTAAGTTTGATAAAGGGATATAAGCCCCTATCCTATTGCTCCAGCATGAACAGGGCCGCTTAAATGAAATGAAATGAAGAATCAGCAGCATGTGCTTTTGGAGCTGATGGGATACCATGATTAGACAGTTACAATACACTGTACAAATCCTACGAGAAGAAAGCCCATATACTTTGAATAGATTAGAGGGCCGGAATCGCAGTACTCGTCGAGGTTCTGAAAGAGAAGACCGTCCGTCAGAAATAAAGGGTATGCTTAAGCACAGAATCAATAATACCGCCTCTAGCAGACATACAAAACGAAGCATGAAACATAATAGTGTAACAAGGTTTCAAGTTCCAACGCCTCTTAACATCACGCATAAGGAACAATTGATTCCAAACCAAGTAAATTTGGAACCTGTGGTCAAAAGGAGCCCGTACCATGATAAATATTGCGAAAGTTAATGCAAAAAAAAGAAACTTTGTTTTGCGTAACAGCAACCATGAAGAAAGAAAAACAGACGGAAGCCATGATAATACACATTGACAGACCCCTTCCCCCAAAAAGAGGAGTGAAAGCGAAAAAAAAAAGAAAAAAAGAAAAAAAAAGAAAAGACCGTTTGAGGAAAATTAGGGATTCTTGGGAGTCTCTAAACTGAAGACAGGAAAAGTTAAATGCTTTGGAGAATTACAAGACATGCCGCTTCATGGTTGGAAAAACCAGTCAATGGTTCACAGCCAGCGAAGCTGAACGATAAGAGGTTGGATTCGAGGACAATGAAGGCTAAAAAAAACGAAAACAAAAAGGAAAAAAAAAAGATGGACAAGTCGTGCAGCCAATTTGGGCATCAAACAACCACTGCCGTGCACATCCTGATGAAAGCACGTGTTTGCACCCTTTCTCCATATAAAAATCACTCTACTCTTGCAAGCCTGCTCGCGGAAAGTCGTCGCCGTCTGCACGCAGATCTCCCAGCGCATTGTCCTCTTTTCCACCAAATCAGTTCAGTTCGGATATGAAGCTAAGCAGGGGTCCTAAACGAATTCCCATAGATAGACTCGCACAGAAGGGGTATCATTTTTTTTTACCTCCCAAGAGAGGCCCCAGACACCTCGATAACTCCAGGTCAACACACGACATCCCTTTTGCATGAGGCCATCATTATTCATTGCCAGTTGTCTTTCCCCCCCCCTTTTTTTTCTCTCACCCTTTCCTTTCACCCGGCATGGAATGGTTGGCACCTCAACTTTTTTATTTTATATCACAGGGAAAATAGCCTCCCTGTCACCTCACGAGTTGCAAGGCTGCAACAGGTGTGAACTTTTCATTTCAATATGCAAGAACAGCCCAACGCATGAATATGGGAGCATCACTGTGGTATGAAATCACAGTCATCGCGGATTGTCGTACGAGGCAGCACCCCAAAAGAAATAATTCGTAAAGCATCGACAAAACGTTCAATCAAGGTGAGCACGCATCTCTTCCGGCGGGATAGGCGTGAAGTTGTCAATATCGAGGCCTTTAGCCTCAAGCGCAGCACGAGCGTGAGGAGGGACCAGCCGGCTGTTCAACTCGGGTGCCATGGATAGTTCTACCAGGACAAATCAGTCGACACAATTCAGAACAGAGGGGACATTTCAATCAAAGACAAGAAAGCCATACCGTGACGTGAAAAATCGAAGAGATTAGGAAGCTCTCGGGGCGGGTTGTTGGGATGGCGGGAGTCAGGGAGGCGCGTGTTCGGATCCCTTAGTTCATCGAAGAAGGGGTGGCACATTGCTTCGATCGCACGCAGTCGCTGTGTTGGAGTATATTCTAGGAGCGCCGAAATCAAGTCGATTGCTTCAGGAGGGGCCCTGCGGAAAACCTGAGGAAATCAGCATCGCCTGCCGCGCCAGTCCATTCACGGTGCCAGAAGTACCTTGTTGAAGGGATGGGGCTTGATCTGAGGGAACTTGTGTTCCATGTAATTCGGATTCATCGTCCGAATCTGCTCCCGAGTCGGAGTTCCCAAGACCTTGATGATCTCAACCAATTGATCGATTCCAGATTCGCCTGGGAACAAAGGTTGTCCCAGCATGAGTTCGGCCATCACGCAACCAGTGGACCACACATCTGTCATGTGAATCAGTTTTCTGTCATACCCGAGCTGGGAAGTGAAAGGAGATAATTACCGATTTTTGTTGTGTAGTTGGTTGCGCCGAAGATCAACTCCGGCGCCCGGTAGTAGCGTGAGCAGATGTAGGACACATTGGGCTCGTTCTCGACCAGGATCTTGGCAGAGCCAAAGTCGCAGAGCTTGAGCACACCCGTGGTCGGATCCAGTAAGAGATTCTGGGGTTTGATGTCCCTGTGGCATATCCCCCTAGAATGGATGTAGGCAAGAGACCGGAACAATTGGTAGATGTAAAGCTTGACCTCGATCATCGGCATCGTGGTCTTCATTTTGTTGAAGTAGCGCGACGCTCGATAAACCGTCTCCGGCACATACTCAAGAACCAGGTTCAGGTAGACTTCATCCTTCTTCAAGGATTCAACACAAGTCAGCCAAGTCAAAGCGGGCCGGCGGGGGGGGGGGGGGGGTTCATTGAATGGCCAAGCACCACGTACCCTCTCCCCATTAGAATAATAAAAGGCCTTTAGCTCCACGATGTTTGGATGGCGCACAATTCGCATGATCTGTAACTCGCGATTCTGCAGAGATGTGAGTACATATACGGCATTTCGTACCAAGTTGATCCGACAGCCGGGGAAACTAACCTTGAACCGCTTGTCTTGGAGCACTCTCTTGATGGCGGCATCCTCCCCGCTGGGGGACATTTTCGTCTGGAAGACCACGCCAAAGGAGCCATTTCCCACGATCTTGCATTGGGTATATTGCATCTCTTTAGTCTCTCCTGTCACTCCATCCTGAACCTTCTCGCGGATCACCTCTGCTCATGCGGCAACGGAGATATTAGTAGCTGTTTTGACATGGAATGAGGACAAGGTTGCTTACCGCCCATGCGCAAGCTCGAAAATACTCCGGGCCGGTTTTGGGACATCACGGAGGTTTTTTATTGAAAACGATCAGCCAGGACAGAACGTGTAACACTATCGAGAGTATGGTGGACTGCACTTGAGCAGCGGATGACGAAAGGAAAAAGAACGAGAAGTTGGGAGGTCCGTCTTGGGCAGATTGGACTGGGTGGAGGAACAGTTCCGTGGCCCTGGGATGGGCGGATGTCCGATTGTGGATGTGCCTTGGTGGAAAAGCGCGTGAGAGGTCAAGGATTGTGAAGCAGATTCGCGGAACAACGAGTCGCGAGGTGGATAATCAGATTGAAGACGACCTCCAGGTATAGAGCGTTTGCGTGACAAGTCACGGGACTGATGAAGACGACCTCGATCCGGATCAGCGTGGTCTCGAGTCCTTTTTGCTATCGAGCACTGTCGACCACGGAGGACGCGACGGCTGCAGGGTGAACGGGGTCGCGAGAGAGTATAGGCGGAACACGAGCCGGGTTCAATGTCCTACAAGCACGTCGATGCCCGAGAGTGAGGAAGAAGGAGGGAGGAAGCGAGGGAGGAGGAGCAGGAGGAAGCAGGTGACGTTGATGGAGCGACGGACACCAAGACGGGAGCGACCCTGCTGCAGGAACGCGGGATAGAGAGGAAGCAGCAGCAAAAGAAAATGGAGGAAGCGGTCTCTCTCTTCTCTGGACGACGCGTGGGGTCACCAGCAAAGGAAGTAGAAGAAGGGAGGTTGAGGAGGAGTGGTCAGCTGGGGTATAGACGCCGTTGCAGGCGAGTGGAAGGCAAGCGTTGGAGTGGGCGGGTATGAGAGAGTCAGTTGGCGAATGGAGCAGGAAGTGAGAAGCTGGGTATGGACAGTCAGGCCGTGTGGTGGAGATGGGCCCTGTGAATTGTCGACTAGGAGCTTCGGACGAGAACCGGCGGGACAAGGCGCTTGCTGTTTACGGCATCCAGCAGAAGCCCAGCAGAGCAGCACAGAGCGAGGAAGAATAACAACGATGACAGGCGATGGAGGACGTGGTGTGTGTATTTTGCTGGGCCGCCGCATCGATCGGGGACGGGGACGAAACTAACTGCCTGCCTGCGTTCTTACTTACAGGTGAATCTTCGAGGGGAGGGGGCGTCAGTCTCGATACGGTATGGTTCGTAATTAACCCGTTTATTACGCAGCCGGCCTTACGACAGACGCCGGGCGCCCGCCACAGCAGCATGACTGGGCCTGCCTGGCCTGCCTGGAACTCATTGGAGAACAGTAGAGAAACGAGGATAAGCACGGCGGGTTGCTGATGACGGCGGTCGCGGTGGAACCCTCGGGCTGGGGACAGCAGAGATTGCGATCTGGAGGGCGCCCATTCTGCAAACGGGGCCCTTATTAAGGATCGTGGAGCGCATCCCAGATCAAATCCGAGGCCCTGGGTCACCACGCAGGAGCGCGCGGAGTGTTTGGGGATGGATGAGTCTCAATATTACTGGGCCTGGGGTGACTTCAGAGGCATGACTGCTGTCCACAATGACGCCAGCCTGGGATCTCCCGAACTTTCTTTCTTGCTGGCGGTTCTCTTTTTCCCTGGCCGATCATTGACTGCGCTTGACCCCGAAAACGCGCTCCAGATGCCAAGTCGACGCAGCTGTCTGGTGGTTACTATTACTAATGCCTGCTATTGCTGTAAAGAGGGGTCGCCGTGCGGGTTGGGCTCAGGGCCCAGCCGGAGAGTGTTCGCCTGAGTGGCCCGTTGCACGCACGTCGTGTGCGCTTGGGCCAGGCGGCCGGGGTCAGGTGCCGTGCTCAGCATCCCGTTGCAGTAAAGCTCGCACCGCCCGCCATCCTCCCATCGTCATCACTCAGCAATGCCCCGAGGGCGAACAGGGCGCTTGTCCGTGCTCGGCCAGCTAGTGCTCTTCGCCCCTCCTGTGCTTATGTACAGCAGCATGTAGACTATGTAGCCATCTCGCTGCAGTGCTCGAACCCAGCCTACCTGCTACGTCAGGCACGCGCAGTGCAATTCGGCCATTCGCCGCCACGGGCGTGGTCTCATAATGGCCATTGTATGTACTGGGACCTTCGAGAACCAAGTCGCCCATGCGGCAAAACCAGTCAGGGACTGCGCCATCTTTTGAAGGTCAGCCGAGCAGTCGACTTCTTCATGTCGGGTGACCATTTGTGATTTTCACTAGGCCCAGTATTGGCGGTACGGTATGGTATTGACTGGGCCTCCCGTTACCTCCCTGACATCTATCTGTAATGGTACAGTACATACCGGCCGATGGACGGTATTATCCTGGAGCTCGAACGGGCCCAGCTACCTCACTAATTCCACCTTAACCCCGCCAAAAAAAAAAAAGCGCGCCGACTGCTGTTCTACTACCTACCAGTTGACGACGTGGTACGCCATGTCTCCAACTCTGGTATCAAAAGGCCAGTCAAAGTGACCGACCAGTAGTTTCTAGCGTTGTCGAGCGTGTTTTGTTGTGTTGGAACCGCCAGCTTGGATCTGGAGCTGTGCGATATCGAGTCTGGAACTTCGTACACGGTACGGAGTACCAGTAGGCCATGCTTGTACACTATGCCATCTCCACGGCAGCAGAACAAGCTTTTCTTGTTCTACGTCATTTAAACTGGTCTTCGGGGACGATAGAACAGGGGGCGGTTTTCAAGATTTATTGTGATAAGAGACCATCTCTGTCCCTTTTCCCCCGTCTCTTACATTATGGTCTTCTCTCTTTTGCCCGTCCTATACGTTTCGAGCTGCTCCTACATCCCCTTCCATCAACATAGGCCACGTAGATGCGGACGGAAGAGTTCGGCCAGTGATTTCCAGTCCGGCGCAGCAAAACAGGGAAGGAAGGAAGGGCTGAGAAATGATGTTATGCTCTGTGGTACAAACCCGGTTCGATTGACAAGCTAGCTAGCTGGGCAGCTGCAATTCGTCGGTGGAAGAGTGTCGACTCAATGAGCAGTATCATTCACAGCCATGTAGCCAAGAGTTGACCGATCCCTGTTCACCAACAGCTCGGCTGTGCGTTATTGCGTAACGTACAGGAGCTTTTCGCACTGTAGGTAGCCGAAAACATTCGAGGAAAATTTGATTGCGGACCGCATGCACATATCGGTGGGGAGAACAGAAAACAAGGTCGCCTCTGTATGGTGAGAGGACGAAATGCAATTCGCTACTTCATTTCGAATGTCGAGGTCCAAATCCTCTCTTTTTCGCAGCATTCTGAAAGGCAGACGCAAGGTGCATGGGATGTGAGTGAGACAAAGAGATCTTGGACGGATGATAGCAGTCTTCAAAGTCATCCAACATCGGTGTTGATCCGTCATGCTGCATTCCGTTTTCGGTCCATCAAGTCGCAAGACCGACTTCCAATTGCTCTCTGGAGCCGTCGTCGAATCGATTACGGCTTCAGGAGACAGACGGACTCTAATCACTACGACTAAACGTCCGAGTTTGAAACCTGTGTCAATATAATATGTGTCTTGAATTCTCCTGCCGAGTGTTTCAAGTAGTCGGAGAGCTGTCAGCCATCGAGCCAACTACCGGCCCGAGAGAAAAAAAAAGCCAGCCCAAGCCATGATGGAAACCACAGATACCAGGTGCCTGCCGCCCCTCCCAAACGCTCTGTGCACGATCAGTGGCTGAAAGGACAAGCAGTGGATGAGAAAGAAAGCATATAATCCCTGTCACTGCAGGGGGTGTAGCAATGGTAGGTTCGTTGTCTGTATACAGTAGTCTGAGAAAACCACCAAGCATACACAGCTGGATAATTACAAAATACCAAGTTATTCAGAGGACGGTAATAACATTACCTGACATCAGGGCTCTCTGTTTCCAGCGAACCTGCCAGGCGAAATAACAATGTACGGGGCGGTTCCACTGCCACAGTTGGATCCACATCCACACTGAGTAGACGGCCACTGCTGGAATACGAAGACAGGAACCGACAAGAATGACGATGATGTAGTCATTGATAGTGAACACATTTCAGAGAGCCATCACAGACGTCCTCCGTAGAAAGAGAAAGACTCGACAAGAAGGCAATGACGGTGGAGTCTTTGATGAGCCCGGATCTGAAGTTGCCACAGGTGGTTGAGAAGTTGAGGCATTATTATCCGCCCCAGGTGGCAGGGGGAGCATCCACCGTTCTCCGGACGGGGTAGGTCTGTGTTATTAGCTAGCTAGTTATCATCCATCTCTGATCGAGGTCACGATAATGAGAGGGGGCGAACTAAGGTTGGGTTGGAACCGGTCGGCATGCGGTTGGCGCTTGGGGATCGCCGGGACGAGCAGCGGCCGCACATGACTGGCTGCGCTATGCTCATGTGACCTGTTGGAGGCTGGCATTCTGGTCCGCTGGCTCCAGAGGCCGAATAGTCGCAACCCCACTGTGCAGGATTCTTCACGGCACACTCCACCAGTATGAATTGAGGGGCACGAGGATAGTTGGTGGCTGTTCTGATCGTTCTGTCCATGTAGAATCGAGCCCATGACCGAGTTAACAGTGCTATGAATCTTTTCAAGAGCTTATGGGGACCAGGCACGGCGTGCAGGGGATTTTCCGATTTCCCTGTCACTACGGAGTGTATTGTGGAGATTCCCTAACACACAGGTCACGAGGTGTTTCATTGTGGAAATGTCACATGTGCGTTGAGGTCCAGTCTCAGCAACCATGGATGGAAGGGGTCCAGTTTGTGGTCCGGCCCGGACTTTGTCAAACACCAGAATCGAAGAGATTCCATCCGCCGAACGTGCATTATTCCGATTATCGATGTAATCTCTAGCTTCTCGAAGCACTACTGTGATAGAGATAAAGGCCCGCCTGTGCTTGAGATATCAATAATTATGAAGAATATAGTGTAAGTATCCACATTTGAATGCATGCCAAAAGTCAGGGTCTGTTCGACAATTGCAATGTGCAATACTCCATAAACCAAAGAATGTCAATGTATTCAGGGCTCAAAGAAAAAGACGAAACACAAGATGACGTAGATGTACTGCACGAAGTATGGAACCGTCGCGGCCGCCTTACAACAGAAAGATAACAAAGGAAAATATAGAAATGTCATTGAAAAACGTGGATACGGAAGTCTAGCTGCTGCTGCTGCTGCGGAAGCAAGGGATGGATATCCATTCAGTGGCCTCAGAGCATACATGTAGAACGCCCGAATTATTTATAAATCGTTCTAGGTTTCCGGTGAAGCCTTGTGTCAAACTGACAGGCTGACATTCGCAAGGCAAGCGAGACCAATTGCCACCACCATGCAGGCTTGACATGCCTCATGCAAATGACAAGGCATGTTTTCTCTTCTCCTTGCATGAATGCACAGAGAACTTTTGCTGCTTGATATAGTAGCCGCCACTCAGACAGGGCAATTGTTGCCAATTGCATCACCAATGATCTACCTCCATAAGGGAGAATAATTCGAAGCACTTTAAGCAAGGCCTCGCTAAACAACCAACAATAGTTTTATCAGTTCCAGGTGCTTGTCAATAACTTCTCTCTCTTTACTTCCCTCTTTCATGATCTATTGTCCATTTCCTGGCATGCTTTTTATTATCCTTTTTTTTTTGCCCCGGTGAGTCCTTTGCATCCGCAGCTGCAAGTCATATGTCGGCAACCCAATCCTATCCAATCCTTGGAGGTGGAGGTTCATCGACATGAGCTAGGGACATGTAGTCTACTCCGTAGTCGATCAAAATCAATGCCGGTAACTAACTCGGAGGCACTCGCTCTCCAATTGTCCGACGGCGTGGCTCCGTTTGTCCTGTTTGGCCGGAAATGATGTCATTGTGGAGAGGTGATCATCTCGGGTGACGTTCTGGGAAAGTCGGATGGATGGGCCGGCAGCTCGACAGTTCTATCAGGACCTCTACCAACTGTATTAGTACGTGTAGGTTGAACGCGGCAAGCAATACTTTATGACAGATTTACAGTGAAGAAATATAAAAAAAAATAAAGAGAGAAAAGGTATATGTTGAGTTTTAAGCATTAGGCCTCTTTCCGAAAGCACTACATGTGGACGTTGATCTCACCTTCCAGAACAGGTGATCCAGTACCCGTGACATTATTCAACCACATCAACAAGTTCGACACTCGTTGTAAACAAAAAAAAAGAATTATGTGGAAATCTGGAACAGTGTCTCAATTCAGTCCCAGTTTGGTATTCATCAAAAATTTGTACAGTACCACTGATCTCAGGTGCATATATCTAGGTATACAAGTACCTTCCTAATTCTATAAGGTTCAAAGGGATTATTACTGTCAAGGGATAAACAGGAGATCATTACTTGCTCTGTATTCTGACCTAGGTACCTATGTATCTTCAAAACATGATTTCCACGTTTGAAGAGCATTGTGTTAGGTCGAGTTAAGAACCAAAACAGACACATACATTCTAGGCTCACCAGTCTCGAAATAACAAACTAATGCTTTCCTTCCAAGAAGAACAAAAATATCACTGTACTTGTATTAGTCAACGTGGAGAACCTGGATATGCACCATCTTTAATGACGTATATCTCCATATCGATACTTTATTCAGAGAGCATCTCCCTGTCCACCATTATAGACATAGGAAAGCATACGTGTTGACAATGTTCCAATGAGATGTTATTCTCTTGGTTAGCTGCAGAGTACCTATACCCTACATGGCATCCTTGAGTTCGCTACCCCAAAATACGATCACATGGTGGAGATCACAGCCTTAACTAGTGGACGCGTCAATACAGAGGCATCAGAATCAAGCTATGCGTGTCTAGTCCGCTCCATTTTTATCCGCAAATCGAATATTCTTATTCTACACTGCCCTCTCTATTACAAGGGAGAACACACAAAAAAAAAGAGAACTTCCGTGGTGTCGCTCCATGCACGTCATGCCAATCCAGTCCCCTCCATCGGCCATGAGAGAAGTTTGAAGACATCACATTATAATATGAGGACAACAAGATGGGCAAGGCCACGGGAAAACCGGACAAGAAACAGAAAGGAACCAAGAGGAACATGATGAAACAGAAGATATATCAAGGAAATGCGAGTCTATACAACACGTGTTCCCATGGCGCCAGACGACTGCATGTTGCACCAGCAAGCCTCGTTTCAAGATCAAGAATGAGCTGCCATGCCTTTATTTTTCTTTTCCCTCAAGAGTGAAGAGCTACTAAAACAGAGAGTGAAAAAAGTGTATTACCAGGGATAGATCTCGCGCGTAGTCCGATGCACCTTATCCAGGAGCCGGGAGTAACAAAGGAGGCTTAGAAAGGCGGCGGGACGATACCCTGAGCCTCGGCCTTCTCCTGCTGCTCCATCAATTCTTCCCCAGCGATCTCAAGCGAAACAGCCAGACCAAGCTTGGCTTGTTGCTACAAGTTGTGCGACTCGGTCAGAACCCGTCTGGTTTGATCAAATCAAATGGGAGAACTCACCTTGACTTGGTCAATCTCTCCGGCAAAAGTAAGAGAGATTGGCATCGCTATCCGCTTCTCCAGAAGGCAGCTGACCTTGCCAGCGCTGTCAATCTGAGCACGGAACGTGGAGGCCCGGAAATCGTATTTGGCGCCAATCGTCGCGGTGCCATCCCGGCGCGGACCACCCATCAAGCTGGCAGCAGCATTCTGGGCAAGCTGGAGGTTCAAGTCAACACCGGCTTCGACCTTCTCAGACAATTTTCGCCAGTAAGACGCTGCGAAGACGCCCTGCGCCTGAAGTTGAGCGCTTGCAAGCCAGTCCTTTCCTCGGTACTTCGCACAATAAGACAGCGCCGTTTCTGGACGAGAATTGAGGCCCTGTCTCTGCCAAATTGCCTCGAATCCCAGAGCGAGAGACGGGGTCACCGATTGAAGGTAGCTTCCCACAAAAATACCGGTTAGACCACCTTCCAGAATTGACGGGTTGAAGGCCTTGAGCGAAACTGAAAAATCGGAGCCAGTGTAGTCGTTATCAATCTGCAGAAGACCCTGTGTGGCTCCTGGCATGATCTGAGCATTGGTCTTGGTGACCAACGACTCGTTCCAGCGGTAGTTTCCGACAGCAGCGAGCGCTCCGTCACTTCCGAAATTTCCTTGCATGAAAATCTTTTTTTTTTGTAAACGAAGATCAGTTAATGGTCTAAAACAACAACCAAGCTACCTTCTGACTGCCTTTGCTTTGCACACTTACCTTCGGCGTCCCGTACATGGCGGAAAAGGCGTATGGGGGCAAGTTGCCTTGCGAACCCATGGCGAATGCGTGAGAAATGCGGAAAAGGGGAGACATGCCAAAGACCTTGGTCAGGTCCGCCCGGAACCCAGTGAACATGAAATTGGACAGAAGAACCTCCTTCTGCACTTCTCTGGCGATGTTGTCCACCGTTCCCGGGTTGGGCAGCCCGAGGGCCTTTCTTCGCTCGGAGAACGCTCCGTATGCATCTTTGATAGCAGCAGCAACGGCATTGTCCGTCAGAAAGGACAGCGATGACGACAGATCAGCCATATTGAGGTGCGTGGGCTGGGAGGAGGGAATCAGCCTTCAAACGGACTGGAAGGAGATCACGAGGAAAAGGGACAGATGTCGAAGGGAAACCGGAACAATTGAGACCAGCCGTGCAGGTCAAACCGTTAGAAGGGACTGTATTCCAGTAGGCGGAGGCTCCTGGCCGGGATCGGACCTGCTCGAGATCTGTTGTCGACGGCAGGATGCGGACTGGCAGAGCTGTGAAGCAAAAAAATGTCGCCAGGTGCTTTTCCGCAGCATGGATGGTTTGGCTTTGCACTCTTGCCAAGCCGGGCTGCCTCTGGGGTCTCTGTCGCGCGCTCGACAATGCTCGACCCGCTGTCCCGGGCCTCATTCGCTAGCCGCTTTGGGCGGGCTCGCTATCGACTGACCTCGGCCTCGACATCCAAGAGATCTACTCCAGTGCAGTCTGCTGCTCTATTGGGGCCTCGTAGAACTGATTATCTCGAGCCTGCGTCTTCACATGACATCGCATCTCCCGCTTGGGGTCTGAAGACCAATAGTCGCTCCCCTCTCCGTGTCCCTCTTTGCGGGATTCATCTATTGGTCATTGGGCTTCGACGACCAATAGGTGTCTCTTTATATCTCTTTCTTCCCTTACCACTCTGTCTGAGTCTTGGTTAAGTATTCTCTTCCATTTTTCCTCTTCCATATTTATCCAACCAAATCAAATCCTTCAACCATGGATACCCTATTGTAAGCCTGACCCGTGCCCGTTTTGTCCCGCAAGGCACCATTAGACGTGATAAGATCGCAGTCGACACAATCGAACAGCTTCTGACTCCCATCAGGACTGCAGATGTCGTCGCCAACTCTCCTCGATTTCGGCGAAAGTCGAGTACTTTCGTCGACGCCATCCATGACCTTCCCGAGAAAATTGAGATGGCACCGGCGCAGCTGTACAGCACAGAATCTGGCCGACTTTTCCATTCCGGCCGTATCGTCATTATTACTGTAGGCCTGCCAGCAAGGGGTAAAACGTTCGTGAGGCTTATCAGCGATATACGTTGGGCGCCGTCCACTGACGTCCTTTTGAAGGCACATATCCGTTGCCCTGGCACGCTATCTCCGATGGTCGGTGTCAATCGTTTCACCATCTCGTCTGTTTGATGCCGGTCTTTCCCGTGACCTTGGACTCATTGCATTCTAGGTTGGGCGTGAAAACGCGAATCTTCCACTTGGGTGATTATAGACGTGCCACCATTGGGCCTGGACAGGAGATGCCTGAAGATTACTTTTTCGTCAACGGTGCGTGAATTGCCAAGTACTCGACTTCCTATAAACGCGGGTTCCGTGAGTTCAGTTTGATGGTGGGTAGAATGCTAAAATGTCGAACTAATGCAGCGTCCGCCTCTTCGGTGCTCTTGAGACAGAAGATCGTCAAGAAGTGCCGGGAGGACATTTATCATTTCCTGAATCACGAAAATGGTCAAATAGCAATTTACGATGCAGTCAACCCGCTCGCCGCTGGTCGCCGCTCACTTGCGAAAGAGTTTGCAAAACATGACATTGAGGTATGCAGAACGCCTTCCTTCCTGCCTTATACTGGCGCTGATATGCTTCGAAGACTCTCTTTATCGAGTCTATGTGTGATGACCCCCGTATAATAGAGGAGAATGTGCGGAGGGTCAAGATTTCTTCTCCTGATGTGAGTCTCTCCCCTGCGCCTTCTGTACTCTGCCCTATCTAATGGTCCATAAGTACGTGGGTTGGAATTCCGATGATGCTGTCAAGCACTATCTGGGTCGAATATCTGCCCGGATACCTCACTTCGAGACGATGGAAGAGAAGGACCTCAATTGGATCAAGGTCAGTGCTCGGCCTGTTCTATTTGGCCTGTTTATAGATCCAGCACTGACTTGGAATGCAGATGATAAATGCTGGAGAAAGGCTGATAGTCAACAACTGCAGTTTTGGTTATCTTTCCCATCGTATTGTCTTCTACCTTCTCAACCTTCATATCAAATCGAGGCACACATATTTCGCTAGGGTAGGCAGAGCTTATTCTTTTTTTTTTCGCGAGGTAGCCTTCTCGAACGCTTCTGACGTAGGATTGTTTAGGCTGGCGTCTCAGTTGATGCCAACTCGTATAAGGCGGATTCCTCTTTATCAGAACAGGGAGAAGACTACGCAAGGAAGATGACAGAACGACTTCTCCAACATAGGGAGTCTGAAAGGCAAGAAATGATCGAGCAAGGCGTTTCGGATGCTGAATTGAAACCTTTGACTGTCTGGACATCCACGCGGCGAAGGACGGTGGAGACTGCTAAGTTCTTCCATGAGAAGGGCTACAAAGTCCGGCAGAGATCCCAAATGAGCCAGTTGAACCCTGGCGTGTGTGAGAACATGACAGAAGAACAGATCAGAGCAGAGTATCCGGATGAGGTCGCCAAGCACGAAAAGGATCCGTATCATCATCGGTATCCTCGTGCGGAAGTATGTTTACAACTGCAGGCTGATATGGCGGGAGAGAAAACAGCTAACGTTGTATAGTCTTATCACGATCTTGCTGTTCGATTGGAGCCGATCATTCTCGAACTGGAGCGCGAGCAGAATGATCTCCTGATCATTGCTCATGAGAGTGTTCTTCGAGTTTTATATGGTTATCTCATGGCTTGCAACGCCGCAGATATTCCGTTCTTGCAATTCCCTCGAAACGAGATCATCGAAGTGCGTTTACATTTGGACCTTTAGTCTTTACTTCACAGGTACTAATGACTGTGTGCAGATCATCCCGGCCAGTTACCAGAACATAGCCAAGAGAATCAAGATTCCAGACCTTCCTGAGGAGATTATCCCTCCCTCTCCAGAGGATATCAAGTTGCCAGTGCCCCCTAGTGGACATGCTTCACCCATGCCAGGCGGTCTAGGAAGCCCACAGGGAGGTCTGGGAACACCACAAAGCGGATATCGATCGCCTGGGGAAACCGAAAGGCTCACTCAACAACATGTCGAAGACGTTGTTTGATCCTGGCTGTTTGAAGAGTTCTTATATCTGCTGACTTAACGGTAATTGGGTGCTTGGAGCGGGTTTGCGGTCATCATGATTCTGGCTGTTTCCCTTCCAGAGATAAGAATAGATCGTCCATAGCAGAATACGTGTCACAACTTGTTAACCTCCATGGAGCGTGGAGACGAAAAGAATATTATCGCCAGATTGTATCTCATAAGCCTCCTCTCCTTCCAGTTCCCAATCGGCATCGTTGATGAGCACGAGAATCCCTGGTCGCCTGAAGCAGCAATTAGCCATCACTTTGGGTTATCTGCAAAATATCGTCACCGGACCGCGTACACATGGCCATCCAACACGAACAGCTCCTTCCGTTGATCTTCCATCACATTATCAACAAGATATTGTATTAAGTAGGCAATATTAGGTCGCGTCCCGTCGTCCAGCTTGGAAGGGATCGAGATGTTATGCTTGCGCTTGTTCGAAAAGAGCATTTCTAACCCTCCTCTAATGTGGGGAACAATTAGCTAGGGCCTCAATCAACCCACAGAAGATGGCTTGGGGAGTCAAACGTAAACTCAACAACGAAGGAAATATTCTCCTCCGTCCCACCGGAGGATTTATCTTCAAGCGTAGACGCCATCGTCGTGCTGTTAAGGAGACGCAGTAAACCAGACCTGTGGTGCAGCGGGGGTTGCTTTGCGGGAAGAAATTCGGAGTTCTGCTTATCGATAAGCTTAATTAAATTTCTGGGCACTGGATTCATCGCCATCCCACTTCAACGGTAACGGCAGCTTCTAGTGAGCACGAACTGCCACGCTCGCAACCCTTGACGCGATAACCAGCTTATAGAGCCGGTACCGCCAGTATCCATGGTGTCTATCACGACAGAGTACATCAGCGTCGGCGGGAATCGGCATCCAGCCGCTGCCGATTGGGATCGCCAGTCCGGTGTCCTTGCATTTGGTGCAGATAACAATGTAGCATTATGGGTTCCTACGGTGCGTTTTCGGAAAGATACTTGTCTGACTCAAAATGCGCAACTAGTGCTGATATTTCAATCAGGATGAGTCGAAGCGTGGAGTATACTCGCTGCTTGTGGGGCACCGCGACAAGGTCAGCGCTGTTCGATTTTGCACGTTACCTGCGAACAATACGAAACTCCTCCTCACTGGTTCAGTGGACCGAACAATTCGCGTATGGCAGTCAGATGAACAGACTTCGCGTCACTATACTTGTGTTTGCGAGCTCGAAGGCCATGAAGGCACCGTCAATGCGATTGCGGCGGCAGACGGCTCGGACATTGTCGCTTCGGGGGCAGCAGACGGAACAGTCAGAATATGGAGGCTCAATTACCAGGAGGGGACGATCAGAGGACAATTTCTGAAGACAATACAGATGAAGCCACGATATTTTCCCCTGACATTGGCCCTCCAACTTCTCGACAAGGAGAATCCGGCGAAACCGATGATGCTGGCTGTCGCCGGAACGACGAATATAGTACAAATCTATGTTGCGCAGACTACAATAAGTGAGCCTGAATTCTTCCTTGGTGCGAAACTTTCTGGTCATGAAGCTTGGGTGAGATCCCTTGCTTTGACCGAAGATAAGCAGGGCCCAGCAGGGGACCTTCTACTGGCCTCGGCAAGCCAGGACAAATATATTCGGCTCTGGCGGATACACCGTGGCGAATCAGCGCCAGTTGTCCCAAAGGATGAAGATGACTCTGTTCTTGGAAATTACGAACCTACTTTATCCAACAAAGCACATATGTTTGAGGCCTCTGGATCAAAATATTCTACTACGTTTGAAGCTTTACTCCTTGGGCACGAAGATTGGATTTATACGGCAGCATGGAATCCTAACCCGGATCGGATGCAGCTCCTTTCCTCTTCTGCAGATAATTCGTTAACAATATGGGAGCCCGACCCAGTATCGGGAGTATGGGTTTCCACAGAGAGAATGGGAGAGATCAGTTCGCAGAAGGGCTCGACTACTGCGACAGGAAGTACTGGAGGCTTCTGGATTGGTCTCTGGTCGCCAGATGGAAAAGAGGTCGTCAGTCTCGCTCGAACGGGGAGCTGGAGAGTATGGAAGTATGACGAGGATTCTGATATATGGGTGCAGCAAATTGGTGTGAGTGGCCACGTTCGGTCGGTCAATGATATCCAGTGGGAAGCAAGCGGACGATATCTCTTGTCCACCAGCTCAGACCAGACCACCCGACTCTACGCGAAGTGGATGCATGAGGGGTTTGCGTCATGGCATGAGTTCTCGAGGCCGCAGATTCACGGTTACGATTTGAACTGTATAGATTCTCTTGGACCTGCACGCTTTGTCTCCGGAGCTGATGAGAAGCTCTTGCGTGTTTTCAACGAACCTAAGCCGATAGCTCAGCTGTTAGAGAATCTTTGTGGAATCCAGCAACCAGGTCAAGATGAAATGCCTGAAACCGCGAATATTCCAGTGCTAGGTCTTTCGAACAAAGCCGTCGGAGAGGATGTTGCCTTGGGAGATGATGCTCTGGATGGATTGGCCGGCGATCAAGCAGAACCCGCCCCGGTGATCTCTCTGGATTTCAACCATCCTCCTCTCGAGGACCACCTTGCTCGGTACACCTTATGGCCTGAGCACGAGAAGTTGTATGGCCATGGCTATGAGATATCCGCAGTTGCAGTCACCCACGATCGGTCGCTGATTGCTACTGCATGTAAAGCGAGCTCGATAGATCATGCTGTGATACGACTATACGACACGACAGACTGGCATGAAATCAAGCCCTCGCTGACAGCGCATTCTCTAACTATCACTGATCTTTGCTTTTCTGCAGACGACCGCTATCTGCTCAGTGTAGGGCGTGACCGTCAATGGGCAGTGTTTAGGAGAAGTGAAGATGACCCGTCGAATTTCTCCCTTCTTACATCGAATCCAAAGGGTCACTCGAGAATGATCCTGGGCGCTGCCTGGGCGCCCGTCTCCCATCCTTTGACATTTGCAACTGCGGGTAGAGACAAATCCGTGAAGCTGTGGCAGATGACGGACGAAACGTTTGAATGCAGATCAGTGATTGCACTGAAGAGTGCTGTAACTGCTATTTCGTTTCTCCCGACGAGTCAAGACGGCATCTTCTATCTGGCTGCTGGCGAAGACACCGGTGACATTTCCATCCACAAAATTACGGGCGACAATCTTGAAACACATGAACTGCTGTCGGTTGACAAGCTCATATGTCCTTCGAAAGCAGTAACACAACTTTCTTGGCGCCCTAGTGCCGACGGGACAATAAAGACTGCTCATGCAGATCGACACGAGCCTGATCTGCTCGCTGTCGCGGGTGAGGATTCCTCTGTCCGTATATATGCTGTTACGAATCTCACAACATAGACTGTTGATTTACGCAGTCTATACGTATGGAATGTACCTACAAAAAGTATTATTTGTCCTGAATTCAAATGTTTTCCGGTCCACAGGAACTGTAATTCTTCGTCAAAGTCGAGAATCAATTCTTCCCACAAAACGCCATATTATGGTACTCAATCCATCTTCCAACAAGTCTATGGCGTTGAAGCCTCCTGGGAGGTTAAGCATTCCCAGTGTGTATTTATGCATCTGAGCCCCTATCCTGACTCCGATATGCAAGGAGTTGAAACGTCACGAATCCATAACGCTGTCGTTGAGAAACCTCTAGATTGTGAAATCCCAAAGAGCCTCCCTAAATTCTCGTTCCCCGTCACGTATGAATTTAATTTTGTTTCTGTATCCTCACTGCTGATATCGCAGAGTGAGTCCAAATCCATCAGGACATTTTCTCTAGCCCATAGCCCCCTTTCCCCTCGTGGGATTCGTACGTCTTCTCCTGCCCTGGTCGTCTGTTCCTCGGTCCGCGTTCTTTCAGGTCTTCCTTGAGCCACTGCAGGACGAGGTCACCCAGCAGGCTATTTTCAGGGGATCGTTGAGGGACTAGCTCGTTGAATTTCTCCATTGGTCCCCACTGTTTCACCCGGCCCAGATGCAGATGCACCAGATGCGTCGGCCACTGCGCCAGATTGTCCAGAATGTGGGTTGCGTAGACAATCGTGCAGGATCGTGTCTCTGTCTCGCGCTTGAGGAAGGCCAGGAAGTTGCTCCGCGACAACAGGTCAAGGTCCACGGTGATCTCGTCGAGGAGGAGCACATCCCAGGGCCGGAGCAGGCCCATGGCTAGCTGGACGCGCCTTCGCTCGCCGTCCGACACGGCATGCATCCGCCACCCAAGGTCGATGTCAAGAATCTCGACGAGCTCATCTCGCCGCTCGGGGAAGGCGTCCCCTCCGACGGAGGAGAGCAGCGTCGGGACGTCGATGTCCGTCCGGACGATGCTGTTGAGCACCCACTCCACGCCGAGGTAGGTGACTCCTTCGAGATTCTCTTTGAAGGGATCAACTCCTGCGACCGAAATCGTGTTCGTTGGCGCCAGACGTTTCCCCGATAGAAGACGAAGCAATGTCGTCTTCCCCGCGCCGTTCGCTATATTGCAAAGTCAGTGAGCGATTCACGCCTAATCCGGAGAAAAAGCAGGGTGTACGATACCGCCAACAAGCAATGTCCGACTGCCAGGAGGAAGACTGAGAGTTACATTCTTGAGACCGGCAGATCCATCCTGAAACTGGTAGGTGAGATCCTTGACCTCAATCGTTGGCGGTGCCATATCTACGCCTGCAGTCTGCCCCGCCAGGCCCGGCGAGATGTTTGTGATGTTCGGAGTATAATATAAACAATACGAGGCGAGTTCCTCACTCTAATGGTGACTCATGAATTAGAACGCGGGGGACTTAAGGTCGTTACCGTCAGGTCATGACTAAGCTGAGAATTAGCCTGGTATGCAACATTAACAATTGAACAGGCACCCTGGTACCTAGTGCCTGGGCAGTTGTAGGTAACCTTGTGGAGAGCGGTGCGGGACGGGGCAATGAGGTCATAAACCACCGCTTATTTTTTTTCCCTTCCGCTATCGTCTTCCAACTTCTTTCTCTCGCCATGTTTCTTACCCTGCTGCGCATTAATACCAGCTGAAAAGTTCCTTCAAGGGACGGAGCAAGATGATGATCCGTGGATCCTTTGATTCGTTATGCTCAATCTCCTTCGACTTGTCTCATCGTCTCGCCCAGCAGTCATGGAACCCCTCATAACCATTGTCGGTGCCACGGGCACTGGCAAGTCCAAGGTGAGCTGCTACAAAGGCGCTTAAAATTAAACGTGTCTGACCGCTGTAGATAGCTCGCCGTGGATTTGGCGACTCGTTTCAACGGAGAGATTATCAATGGCGACGCAATGCAAATGTACCGCGGTCTACCCATCATCACGAACAAGATTCCAGTTGAGGAGAGAAATGGGATCCCGCACCACTTGATAGACTGTGTCAGCCTGGAGGACGAACCATGGCGCATTAGCAGGTTCAGGAGAGAGAGTATCCGACTCATCAAGGAGATACATTCCCGCGGAAAGCTTCCGATCCTCGTTGGCGGTACCCACTACTACACGCATTCGGTTCTATTCAACGACGTGCTTGTCGGGACAGATGAAGGAGAAGCACAGGATGCCAATCAGAATGGGAGAGATGATGCTTCGCGCAAGTCGGAGGAGTGGGCGATCCTCGATGCTCCCGTGGAGGTCATGCTGCAGAAGCTGAGGGAAGTGGACCCTGTCATGGCGGAGCGATGGCATCCCAACGAAGCGCGCAAGATCAGACGTTCTCTGGAGATTTATCTGCAGACTGGAAAGCCTGCCTCGGAGATCTATGCGCAGCAAAGGCGCCAAAAGCAGGAGGCTGGAATGAGGAATGGCGACGACCGTGACGACGTCCTTGGTCAGGCTGGCCAGATGCGATACCAGACGCTGCTTTTCTGGACGCACGCAGAAAAAGAAAAGCTTCACAATCGCCTTGATGCACGGGTAGATACGATGGTTGAACAAGGCTTGGTCGCGGAGGCGCAGAGAATGTCAGATTACCTGAAGGAAAAAGAATCGCAGGGCGTGACTGTCGACCCGACAAGAGGCGTTTGGATTTCAATTGGGTTTAAAGAGCTGGAACCATACTTCGCGGCATTGCGCGCAGGACACTCCAGTGAAGAGGAACTAGAGGCCCTCAAGCAGTCATGCATAGAGTCCGTCAAGACGTCCACTCGGCAGTATTCGGTCCAGCAGATCAAATGGATTCGAAACAAGCTGTGGAGTGCTCTTGCTGACGCTAATTCGCTTCACCGTCTTTACATACTCGATACCAGCAATGTCGATGACTGGGATAGATGTGTGACCGAGCCCTCCGAACGGGTTGTGCATGCCTTTCTGAGCAACGAGCGGTGTCCGGACCCGAAGTCGCTTTCGGTGCTGGCCAAGGAGACGCTCGAGGCTAGGGAAAAGGATCACCAGAAGAAGCTGGCAGCCGCGTCGGCAGACGGCCCTTCTGTCGTTATGAAACAGATGACCTGCGATCTATGCAAAAAGACTATGCTGGGCCAGGAACAGTGGGAGATCCACGTCCGCGGATCTGGTCACAGACGTGCTCTGAAAGCTGCCGCCAAAAGAGCCCAGCGAGAGGAATATTTACGAAATAGAAAAGCACCCGAGGAGGGCACTGATGGGCCGAAGAAGGATGAGGAGACAACATCACCTTGAATAAGTGGGCTGGTCCTGTATATTTCATCTCGTCACTTCCACAGTCGCATCATCTATATACGATAGACAGTGATATTGCATGGATGAATCAGTATTACGGTATCTTATACAAACACTAGATAGATAGACTATCCAGAAAAAGAAAAGGCTTAGCCGAGGCGTGACAGCCTGCTGCAATAAGAATTTTCGTGTCCACAATTCTTGTTTTGGCTTCTAATACACATAACCAACCGCCCATTCTTCGGGTTGTATGTAAATACATGCTGTGCACGATGCACATACCTCTTTCCAATCCAATCTGCGTCTGGATATCAGTTCAGGCGCAGGGGAGGGCGTTTGACAATGACTTATTATACTCTGTCCTTTCCTCAACGCCGGCCTGGTAGGAGTAGACATAAGACGATGAGGGGGAGACAGAAAAATAGCCGATCATCTTTCCGAAAGAGGCACTGCGACCTCTGCCTGGAAATCCAGCATGGAAAAAGTGCCATATGATGTCATGCCTCATTTCCAAAGACATTTCGTTTCGCCTTTGGCCGCGGAAGAAGGATGATGACAAGCCGCGAGGTATGACCCCCTTTTTGTTGGCCTGCCCTTTAATTGCAAGTTTAATGCTTCCAAGGTAAAATCTATGCGGCCTGGGCTTTGTAGTCATCGTAGGAAGCATGATGGAGGAGAAGGAAAACGGGCCGAATGCATGGAGTGAAGACATCAATCACTAGCATCCTAAGTGATGATTCTTCTGAAAGGAAGCAAGAAAGGCGACAAAGAAAATGAGGCGGACCCCTTCGAAACACTCATGTCTTCTGTGTCCTCCATGACGTGAAGGCCGGGGAGAGAATATCGCCATTCCCACTTTCTTCAATCTTGAAGACCTCGATAACTGACGATTTCTCTCGCTTCCGTAGTCGCCATGTGCCTTCTTGGTTCACGATCGTTTTGAGCCCTGGTTCACAAAAGTCAGTTAACCATCATGCTTGAATTATTCCACGCAATATTATATAGTTGCCTACATTCAAGAAAGGCGGCGGCAAAGTTGATGCAGACGTTGCCGTCCCAGCTCCCCTTGCCATACTTCTTGACGTTGACAGGTATACTGTGAGTTTCGAGCTCCTCTATCCGTAAAAGGATTCCTTGTTGATTCCGGAAACCGACGACGATTTTGGGAACGCCGAGCAGAAACGATTGGGCCCAGAATTTCAGCAGCTTTCGCTCGTATTTAATCATGTCTCTCTCATTGTAGATTTCGGCGGTCGTCTTCAATTCTACCCAATTGATGGGGTCTTCTTTTCTATCGGGCTTGCAGTCCCAGACTGAGACATTGTCAGGAAGAGTGTGCCATGGGTTATGCTTCCAAGTCTTCTGGACTAGGCTTCTAGGAAAAATCATCCTAACATACCTGCGTCGACCTCCCCGCCAATGACGAGTCTGACTTTTCCTATTCCAGTCCGGACAACCGAACAGTACTGAGATTTGTTGTTGACAACTTGGTCAACACGGCCTTCGATTGTCTCACGAGGCGTTGCATCCCATGTGTCGGGAAGCACAGATAGTGTTTCAAATTTGTAGCCTGTTACACATCAATATTGACTGCTTGAGGAAAAACACGGTTATTACACACCCCAATAAGCCATCAGATCCTGCGAAGGCATTCCAGGTGGCATTCTCTGGTTTCGTTGAAGCTCCTTTTGTTGGTTTTTGTACGCATTGTTTTCTTCAATAAAACTGCGAATTGCCATATGTCAGCGACAGTGCTCGGGCTGAAGCTTGCACAAATATACGTACATAGTCCCCTTTGCAAGTCAGCAACCAGAATGTGTCAGCTTGGAGCGCTTGGGGGAGCAACTCACTTGAAAATAGGTCGCATTCATCTCAAACCTGAGAACTTGTCAGCAGGCCAGGCTTGTACCGTTGTATCCCACAAGAACCGCGCGCACCCATTCATTATGTCAAATGGCGCTGTCAATATCTTGATGACCATCAATCAGTTGCGTGCGCCAAAAGCCTGGGGAGCTAGAATGCCATTGTTCGCAATTCTCCGGAGGGACTGATTTCTCTTCGCACACCTTTGTCATCATTCCTCTCCAGGTGATGATGTCTGCCTCGCATTTCGCTCCCGTATCCTTTTCCAGCGCAATGATGGTGTCCAGCAGCGCATCGAGATGCTCGTCGGCTGAGTCGTCGAGTTTCTGAAATGTGTCGAAGCCCCGGTTCAAGTCCGCAGGGAGATTGGGTGGATAGTAATAACGGAGGGAGGAGTCATCCAGCCGGAATCGATGCTCATCATCGTAGGAAAAGTACGCAATCTCCTAGACCGGTCGTCAGAAAATCTATCCGTAGGATATCTATCGCGATGTCTTACTCTTGGGCGCCGAATGGCCGCGTTAGAGCCCGCGAAGCGGTTAACGGGTTGGATGTCGAATGTATGGAAATTCATAGCTTCTTCGACCAAGGGCCATGGATGAAGAATATCACAGAGGAATCATAACCAAGTATCTATCGTGCGGAATTCGTAGAGTTTTTTTGCTGCAGCATTCACCCTTGAAAGGAGCTCCAGGTTGAATAGGGCAAGTTTAATTGGGGCGATCCACGCAGCAACACAAGCTTCCGCCTTTGTCCCCGCCGTCCCGCCTCGACGCAGTACCTCCGTATTCCATACCTTTCTTGGGACTCCCGGTTCGAGGAACTGAGCTCATTCGGACCGTGCTTTGGCACTCTCACTGCGAGCGTGACGGGATATCTGTCTCGCAGGATCGCTGTTTTGTTGTCCCGTGAACGAACCGTGCTGTGTTAGCAGATCGAGCCGCGGACATGACCTCCCGGATCGAGAAGACCATTGCTCGTCAGCAAGAAAAGTGCGTGGCGCCTCTCTATCCTGTGACGCTTCTGTGATAAATAAAACGTCTGACTGCTTCGTTTCTCCAGAATTGCCGCCGGCGCATACTACGAAGCCCACCAGCAGCTTCGCGTCATCGCTGCGCGTTACCTCAAACAGTCGGATTATGATGCCGCGGCCGAAATCTTAACGGGCGGAGCCAAAGCTCTCCTCAGAGCAGGGTCCCAGCAAGGTGCATCTGCCAGTGGTGGAGATCTCGCTATCATGTTGGTCGTGGACGTGTACAAGAAGGCCCAGTGGGAGATCAGTGACGACGATGATGCTGCGTCGAGGGCGCGGAAGAGTGAGTCTCAGCCTTTTCCTTTTGTTCGGACCTGCATTACGATGGCAATGGGAAACCAGCTGGCCATACCCAGCCTGCGATTTTTCTACTATGCCTGCTAAGTATTCTGTAGAGCGCCTTATCGAATTGTTACGCGAGTTCCCTCCGGAAGAGCCATCGCGAAAACGATTTATAAACGAGATGATTGCTTGGAGCTCGCGATTTGGTCCTACGGAGAGAGGAGATCCCGAGCTACATCACGCTGCTGGATCGGTGTACGCTGAAGGTATGTCAATACGCGGTGGATGGTAAAAGAAAAAATGAAAGATTTCCTAACAATTTGTTTTTAGAGAATGAACCATACGACGCAGAGAAGCATCTAGCATTCGGGACTACAGAATCCGCGGAGACTCTTGCGAAGATGGAATTCGAGTGGTATACGAACGATGAGTCGCACACGGCGCCTATCTACGCATCTCGCGCCGTCTTCCCCTTCCTTCTGGCCGGCAACCTGCGCAACGCCAACAAGGCGTTTCTCGTCTTCACGTCGCGGCTTTCCTCCTCGAATCCCGATCTTGTTTCGCAGGACGTCAGCAGTGCCAGTTCCGACGTTCGGGTGTACCCCTCGCTGCCGTTGCTGAACTTCATCAGCCTGCTGCTTCTCGCCATCCAGCGTGGTAGCCCCGATCTTTTCCGGGACCTGACCAAGCAATATGCGGCGCAAATCCAAGAGATCGGGATCTGGGACGACGCTTTGGCCCGGATTGGAGAGATCTACTTCGGCATTCAGGTCCCGAGACAAGGCAACCCACTGCTGGAGATGATGGGCAATATGCTGTTTGGTGGTGGCCAGGGAGGTGCTTCCAGGCCGGGAGGGTCGACTAGGGCCCCGTCAAAGAAGGTCGAAGCGCCGCCATCCAGTATGGAACTTGACTGAATGTGCTGTCTGCATTGTATATCGCTGTCGACATAATGAGACCATGCCTGTGACGCAGCGGAGTTGTAGAGATCGTTGAGTTGACACGTTAGACACGAACGTCATCTTCTACTTCGTACATCCAATTGTCTTCATCTAGAGCAGCTACTTTGTTGCGGAGACTCTGGTGTATCAGATTGAGGATCTCTGGAAGCAGTTAGATGACGCCATAATAAGAATAAGACCCAAGGGGAAGACCACGAGCGGCAGGATCACTTACCAGCTGGTTCACTGCTGAGCTGCCTGCTGCGATTCCGGTACATCATCTCCACCAGGCTTGCTTCAATTTCTTCAACACCGTAAAATTAGTTATTCGCCCTCTTAAAGCCATACGTTCCTGTTTCCATAGACGTACTTTCTTTCTCCCTCCCACCGAGCTCCGCATCTACCGCAGCAGAGCCACTATTAACGCCCGTGCTGCCCGATCCTCCGCTGGACCGTCCTCCTCCTCCTGCTCCTCCTTCTTCTACACCTTCCATTGCGCCTGCTTCGTCGCCGTCCTCGTCCAGCATCACCGGCGGCAGGACTGGGATGTCGAGTTTGTAATTCCCGTTTTGGTCTCGCGGCACAATTTCCCCGTTGTCCCTTTCAACTGGGCCTGTGGTGAGAGATGAAGATACGGTTGCTGCTGATGTAGTGGCAGACGTTCCAGCAGCTGCAGCAGCTCTAGTAGTAGGGATCTCCGACACGTGATTCCCTCCGACGGCAGCAGAAGTGGAAGCAGTAGAGGCGGCAGCAGAGGAGGACGACGCAGCGGATGCAGGCCGGCGGCTGAGATGGTGATGGAAAAGATTCCGACGGACAGAAGTCGTATTACTCGGTGCCATTGTCGTTGTTGTGGAAGTTCCGGCGTGAGAATGCGTGTTGGTGGCGTTCGTAGACACAGGAACAGCTGCGGAGGAGGCGGAGGCAGCGGTCTGTGTCGTTGTTGCCGTGGAGGTGCTGTTTACTGAAGGCGCGCGCGAATGTTGACGGTGATGGTGATGGTGGAGATATCGCGATGCCATGCTAGGATTATAATCTAAGAATGGAGAGGTTCGTATCGTACCGTATCATATCATAGGGCCGGAGGAGAAAAAGGTGGATCTAGGACACGCTGGAGAAACAAACAGAGAAAAGAAAGAGAAAGAAGAATCTTCCTGTCGACGATACTTCGAACATTGGGATGAATAGAAACGCATCTTAAATAAAGCAGTGGATTGCGTTGATTCAATTAATTGTTGGAACCTTGGAATGCTTTGGTCTTGCGAATTGACTATTACGCGATCGGGTTAGGGTGGCCGCTCGGTGCAAGGATCCAAGGTTGATCCGCACTCGACGTTGTTCTTCTATGTTATTTCCTATGAGATGCGATGTGATTTTATAGATGACGCTCGCTGCCAACGCGGCAATTGTGTCCTCCGCACTGGTCAGCACCGACATTGTCATTTCTTAATTTACCTTTTGACGTGGCCGATCTCGTGACCGGCACATGAAGGGGCGGTCCTTGACAGAAAGGTGACAGGAAGAGAAAGTACTGTACATTATTGACTTTGTACAGTACAGTACGACCATGGACCAAAGCAATAAGAGGCTGGATGATCGGGTTGCACATTGATTCGGGTATATTATCGATAAGCTGGAGTGTTAATAACGACCATTAGTTAACTTAGTTAACTAGTTAACTAACTATCGCGGCATGATGAGTCAGCTGCCAGACTTAGGGCTTAGGGCCTAGGGCCAGGGCTGGTTGCTATTCCTTGATGAATTTTTTTTCGTCTAATTCCAGCAAAGGAGAAATTAACTATCCTTGCATGTAAGAAAGGTTAGAATTTCTCTTTTGCTTGCTGAGCAGCAAATAGCCAGCATGCTGTAAGAAACTCACTCTATCAAATACCAGTGTGCATAGCAAAGATGTGGGGCGTTCTCCAATTTGCTGGCCATATTATTGCTTTGGGACGTTATCAGATAAAGCAGGATACTGTGCAAATGAGAAATTGGAGGTCTTCGGAGCAAGTGGCCGCCAAGGGAGCGCGGATGATGTTTACAAGAGGGAAGCATGTTCATATCTGCCTTATCCATCCTGCATATTCTCATCTACAAGGGCATCCTCTTATCAATCGAGTCTGGCCGGGCCGTGGCAATAGGGGCGTGGCTTCTGCGCACAAGGGGAAGGTACGCGCACGCACCTTCCTCCACCAGTCCTTCCTAGCTAGGTAGGTACGCTGCTGCTCCGTCCGCTTAAACGGGATTATTATTGCACATGATAACGGAGGCGCGCCTTATCGCCCTCTCGTAAGGGTAGGAAACGCATGAATAAACAGCTATTAACCAAACTAGGCATGTCTGCCACGAAATGATACTGCATGCTGGAGCAATCAGTCGGCTTCAAGCTCCCGGGCTGCCTGGTCATCATGGCCGCGACGCTGTCCGACTCGAGACCCCCTCCGCCTGTTTTCTCCGCAATCCTTGGTCTTTCTTCTCCGCATGCCACGAGACCTGTTCTAGCTTCGCTGCTTGCTCGTTGACATGAACTAGATCTCGTTGGAGTCCAATTACACCAGGAAGAAGGAGAGAGATCAGAACGATATGGCTTCTGCATCGGGATCATCGCAGTCGAAACCGCTCCTAGTCAAGTCGCATGTCTGCAACTACCCAAATTGCGGCAAGAGCTTCACCCGGGCAGAACATCTCCGTCGCCATGCCTTGAATCATACCCCGAACGACAATTGCTGCGAGCGTTGTGGCGTCCACTTCACTCGTCCTGATCTGCTAGGTATGTAGATATAGCCGATCGCATTTGTTTCTGGGCCATACTGAGTTTCGTTTCAGGTCGACATATGGCCCGACATGCGAAGAGAGACGAGGAGGCCGGAGGTCCCGGTCTAGGGGTTCTGGAGACCCGAAAGAGAACTCGACGAGGACCAGATGGGAAGATCATAACGCGACCGACAAAGAAACAAGCCAGGGCTGCAGCTGCCGCCGCAGCGGCAGCGGCCGCAGCATCGTCGTCGTATTCGAGTGCCTCATCAGTTCAATCCACTCAGAGTTCATGTGGGAGCGTCTCAGCTTCTTCTGAGGGTCCGCATCTGGAGGTTGAGTCCTTAACTACGCCCGGTACCACTCGCGGATCAGGCGTCCATAAAGATCCTGATCACACCTCTCATGGTGCTCCGGTGTCTCCTCCACGTTCGACACAAGAGTCGAATTCTGGTGTCAATACCGATGGAGGGCTGGAAGAGTCATGCGACGCTGTAACCGCTTCTGAGCCTTTCCTCGCTCCAATGGTCCCTGGTGGGCCGTACGAGCCCTACGTCGAACCGATTCCTGGGCAATTCGATGCAGCCGATGGCTCTTGGCAGACCTGGAGCCGGATAGATGAAATTTACAATGACTTCTTCAATCTGGATACAGGTACGTCTTGTCGATGTATAATCTTCTTCACCCATGCCATGACCCATCCTCTCGTGACCTTCTGTCCTGTCTGTCTTGAATCATCTAACTTATGCAGCGACGTCGTTCAATATGCCGTTTGCCGCAACCTTGAACTATAACTGGCTGTTCAATGTTTCGTCCCTAGATGATGTTTTCGCCAATGTCGATGTCCCGCTCACGACAGATATGACAAACTTCGCTGAACCGCTTCCTGACATGTGGTCTCAGCCGTTTTTCACACCGGGCGAGAATCCGAGCCACTTGTTGCAGAGTCCTTCATCTTCTGCACCGACTGGGCCTGTGCTGGATACCAGTCCGCCATTGGATGGCCAGAGTAGCTCAACAACGCTTCAAGGGCAGCCGATGAACAAAGAGACAGGGAACATGCAGTCCTCTGGCACTCGTTCTCACAACGGTCCGGGGCCAGAGAATACCTCGTTTGGACCGTCGTTGCTTGACCACGGGAATTTACGGGAGCCTGACTTTTCGGACATGGATTGGATGGGTCCGTCCAAGTCGGACAAGGGTTTCGCTTCTCTACCTCAGATTACGGAGAATGCAAGAGCTGGAGTGCTCCAGCTTGTCTCAAAATCATCTCCGATGACTGCAGAAGGCACGAAGATTGACCTATCGTCTCCACTTCTCTCCTTGCCGGAATTGCAGAGCTACTGTGACTTGTTCTTCACCAGGTTTAACACTGCCTATCCGCTCATCCATCAGGCTACGTTTGATCCAGACAAGGTGGACGCCATTTTCTTAGCGGGTATCCTTTGCATGGGGGCACATATAGCAGCCGCGAAGCCCATCAGCTGGCGGTTCGAATCCACGATACCCTTCGCAACCATCTGTTCGCACATGCAGCCTTCTCAGCGCAACCAGAGCTTTGGGTTCTCCAGACTATGCTGCTGATCGATTGCTTTGGGAAGCAGCGCGCGGGTCAGAAGCAGCGTGATATGGCACAGCTCTTCCACTGTGTGCTAATCAAGCTCATCCGAAGAAGTGACTGCTCTGTCATCCGAACGTCCGGCATCAGCAAACGGCCTGACGATCTGGAAGCCGCGTGGAGACGAGCCATGGACGCAGAGCAGCGTAAGCGGCTCGCGATGCATTGCTTCATGTGGGATACACAGCATGCAGTTCTCTTTTCCCAGTCCCTGTGCATGTCCGCATTCGAGATTCGCTCGTCCTTGCCCTGCGATCCTGGATCCTGGGAGGCGACATCGGCAGAGGAGTGGTTTGAGAATTCCCGACGGGAGGGCCCTCATCGGCTGTTCCTGTCGGTTCTGAAGGCTTATATCACCCCCAGTGCCGTCTCCCATCCACGGCATCTGAATGCGCTCGCGAGAACTTTCCTACTTCACGGTCTCTTATCGGTCTCTTCGGACCTCAAACGTCGAGACCAGACGACGCTCCGATCGGAGACGCCTGATCTGGTGGGAGCGTGGAAGACCCGCATGGCCCGTTCCTATGACCTGTGGAAGGCCGACTTCGACGCAGACTGTATGGCCATGAAGCTGGAACAGAGGGCCGATTTGCGGAAGTTCACCGGCCTTAAAACCGCGACCAACGTTCTTTATCACGCGGCACACATCACGTTGAATGTGGAGATCTTGGATCTCCAAATCTACGCTGGTGCTCCTCACATTTTGGGTCGCGTTGTCACTGCCACCGACTTTGAACGCTCGCATCGCAACGTGACTCGGTGGGTGAATGAAGACCCGCGGTCTGCAGCCAAAGCGGCCCGGCATGCATCGTCTATCTTGCAGGATGCCATTATGAACCTCAACGATTGGGACGACACTGATGTGTTCTACTATTCGTGGTGTCTCTATATAGCAACACTCACCTGTTGGGCATTCCACCTTCCCATATCGGCTGAGAATGAGAGACGAACCACCTCGGACGGTGAGACGGAACGCAAAGGCGACAATCCTCATCACTATCATCATAGCAGCAGTGGCAACAACCAGTCTGTCAGCTCCAATGCCAAGAATGAGATGACGTCCATGTTGATTGCAATGACGGCTTGCAATAGCCTGGAAGAACTTTCGTCTCTGGCGGGGCGATTTAACACCAAGGGCTTGACGTCGGTAATGGCCAAGCAGCTTGCCACTGTGAGATGGGCAGTTGTGCATGATGCAATGAAAGTTCTGCACCACCTTTCTGAAGCGCGGTGAACTCTATGATCTGGTCGCCTTTACGATTTACGTTACTCAGGCAAGTTTTCTCTGACGCCGGTTTGCATTCGCACACACTCTCTTTTTGCATTTGTTCGATAGCTCGGCGTTGAAGCCAGCTAGCCAATTCTTCTTCGACTACTGTACAAAGAGCAGAGGTGTTGGATTTCAGGGAGGGATTTTGTTGCGCGACTGTTTGAAATCCGTTCTGTTTATCTATATACTGTGTTTGCTGATGAAAAACATGTATGGTAACTTCACAGCCATTTATGTATCGCAATGTGGCACCGTCTATTTCTACGTACATACACCATCCGTCTTTTTGTTCAGGCTCATGCTGTTGCACTCGACTTGTGCCTTGTCGTCATAAAAGGGATAATCGGTGTAGCCCTTCTGAGGGGGGTCCGCTCCATAGAAAGTCGACCGGTCATAGGGATTCAAAGGCAATCCCTCCTTCAAGCGGCGTGGCAGGTCGGGGTTGGCGATGAACCAGCGGCCAAAGACGATGGCATCGGCCGCGTCTGAATCCAGCTTAGGCACAGCATTGTCGCGGTTGAAGTTTCCAGCGGCCAAAAATTTAATGCCGGCCTTTTGCAGCACGGGTCGGAAGTGGTCGAGAGTGCTACCAACCAGCCGTTTGGTAGCTGTCGCTTCTGCCTCAACGCCATTCTCGGTATAAGCCGAGAGGGCATCCAATTTGGCCTTCTCGTCGAGCACTTCGTCGAATCGAGGCTCGATCATGTGCACGTAGCTAGGACGACGCTCGGGAGGCAGGGCGGCGATCTGCTCGCACAGATATACCCAATGTCCATTGGGATCTGAGTCGCGGGTGTCCTGGAAGTAGTTGTACGGCGAGAGACGGATGCCCACGCGGTCTGCGCCGACAGCAGCCGTGACGATATCGATCACTTCTAGAGTGAACCGACAGCGGTTTTCCACAGAGCCGCCGTACTCGTCCGTTCGGTTGTTGATGTTGTCGTGGAGGAATTGCTCGAGGAGATACCCATTGGCAGCTAGACATGTGGTTGCTGAAATTAGACCCTGCGCTTAACGGTGCTGACAATTGCACAATGACGAACCGTGAATCTCGACTCCGTCGAAGCCTGCCTCCATGGCTCTCTTTGCTGCAGCTGCATATTCGGCCACCGTCTCCTTGATCTCCTCGACAGTCATTGGCCGTGGAGGATTATCGGCATACTCCGTTCCATCCAAAGCCTTGCCTGAGATGGGGATATCGCTTGCGGACACTGGCCGACGGCCGTCGAGAAAGGAAGGGCAGGACGCTCGGCCGACGTGCCAGAGCTGGCAGAGAATAAACGCTCCCTTGGCATGAACGGCGTCGGTGACGCGCTTCCAGCCGGCAATCTGGGATGGGGTAAAGATGCCTGGGACACCGGGATAGCCAGCGGCCTCTCACGACTTAGCTATTTGCAAGGAATGAACGATAAATGGTGGAGTATATCGATATATGTACTTACATAACGACTGATAGGCGTGGCCTCGGTGATCAGGAGTCCGCCTTTGGAGGCACGCTGCGAATACAGCTCCACGACGAGGTCGTTGGGTACATAGACACCGTCGGATTCCTTGCTCGCCCGCATTCGAGTGGTAGCCCCCTGAACCACGCGGTGCTCCAGTTTCAGGGCGCCTATCTGCAGCGGTTTGAAGAGAGTCGTCTCGGCGAGGGGCGCGAACGTCATGTTGCTTGCCAATCTCGTCAACGTTTCCAGTTCTTTCTTTTCAGACTGTGGTTTAATGGGAGTATATCATCTAACGTGAACGGGAGAAGTATCTACATCAAGCAAGGAAGAAAAGAACGGAGGAAGGAAGAGAGAAGAAAGATCACGACTTTCTCCCTTTTGCATCAAAAATTATTGTCGTTGGCTTTTATTGATTTAGCCCCTGTGTATGTTCTCGAGTAACGATGAGGAAAGCGAGTGTTGGGTACATTACATAGGTACATACATGTACTGTACACATTCCTGTCCACTTTTTCTTTACGTGAGCCTCGACGGTACCAAAAATGGTGGAATGTCATGGGTGGGATAGTATATATACTCTTATGTCCTGTACAGACGTATGAGACAGACGGAGATATATGGAATTGAGGGTTCTCGCTGTTCGCCATATCCTGTGTCAACCGATCAAAGATGGAGGAAGAACCCCACTTTTGGTCTCGACAACAACCACAACGTCTTGTTCATCATCGCCATCGCCATCATAATAATACGATATCAACGGTGACACAGCATCTGATGTACGACTCCATGGCCTCTCGTTTCATTGGTGCATACGCCGTCGCTGAAGAAGGCGACGTCACGAGCCTGGTTGTCGCTTATCGTCGGATCGATACGACAACTCTGGCCGACAACTCGCTTGGGATCACTGACTGCGTCACCACACAAAGTATCGATTCTTAGTCAAAATAGCCAATTATGAGGTTTTTATTAATCTTGGTTCTGGCAGAATTAGTTTTATATGGGCTGCTACAGCAGCATACAGGATACCTAATTTAACTCTATATTCCTAAAAGGTAAGTATATCTAGTATTTAACTAGTATGTGAATAATTTCTTATTAAGCTTAAATTCTATAAATAATATTGCGGTGGTGGAATACCTCGTCGAGACTCATAACATCTTTGCTGAAGAATGAAGACTGAATGACTGTAAGAAGACAGAATACGTAAATATATACTGGCATGAGTGATACGAATCATATGATGGATCACATCATTATCTGGGGATGGACTACTCTTCAGGGTATAGAGGCGGGGTAAGAAACCTATCAGATAGCAGAGAAATAATACACTGGCAACCCCACCGCCATGTGATTGTATTCTGTCGATTGCCGTGACAGTCTCTATAGAAGCTATAGAACCAGAAATAGAAGCTAAAAAGGAGTCAGAAGCAGCTCTGGAAGCTGGATTATAGTCTTATCTATTTGACTAGTGGGCATACTAGGCGGTGTTGTAGATAGCTTCAGATAATGGGTAATAGATTGTGTTCTGCTAGGTGATTCGTTACAGGGATGCGGATCTTACGTCTTCTGCCTACATGGCAGGATGGCGCTGCTCAACCTTGTACAGCCAGTTCCGCGTCTTCTGACTGGCAGGCATCGCAGATCTGGCAGCAGTGCGTCAGACAAGAAGGTTACAGACATGCCTGAAGAAGCGAGATATGACTCCTCGATTATTCCCCATTGTCGATAGGAAAGAGGTGGTTTGATCTTCATTGAGTGCTTTTCTCCAGTCTAACTAAGGTCGTTCGTCTACGCAAGACAGCGGTAAACGAACCCAGCCAGGATGGTGCTTCCTACTCCGGTCACGGAGCCAGATGTCGTTGTCCCAACGGCTCTGAGTCCGGACGATGCTCTCCAGCGCCTCGTGGAGTCGACATATACGACCTCGACCCTCGAGTTCTATCTCAACGGCACCAAGATCCAGCTCCGTAATCCCAATCCCCACTGGACCCTCCTCGACTTTATCCGCTCCCAGCATGGCCTCAAAGGCACCAAGCTGGGCTGCGGTGAGGGCGGCTGCGGTGCCTGCACCGTAGTTCTTCAAGTGCCTGAAGCTCGGAACGGTGGACGGATCCGCCATCTCGCTGTGAATGCATGTCTGTATCCGCTGGTCGGAGGTACGTAGACGACGTCTGTCGCAAATGAACAACGCAGCTGCGCTGACTTGTTTCACAGTGGTAGGAAAACATGTCATTACAGTCGAGGGTTTGGGGAACGTGAACAATCCCCATCCTCTTCAAGAGCGTCTAGCAAAGCTCCATGGCTCACAGTATGTGCTTCATATCTGCTACGCATGAGATCCCTTCTCTCATTTTTACGCATGCAGATGCGGCTTCTGTACTCCTGGTATTGTTATGTCGCTCTATGCGATGATCCGCAATGCCTACGACCCACAATCCGGGAAATTCAAGCTCTCCGAAGAGGACATCGAACTCAAAGGCCATTTGGATGGAAACCTGTGTCGATGCACCGGTTACAAACCTATCCTGCAAGCCGCAAAGACATTCGTCACCGAAGATCTCCAGGGTCAGTTGGCGGACGATTCTGTAGGCACAGCTGTCCCACCAGTGGAACAAAACGGTGTCTCCTATCTGGAGGCATCTCTATCGACGTCCTCTACTGCCAAAGGATCGTGCGGCCGACCAGGAGGCTGTTGTCGCGACGATCCTGCAAGAAAATCCTGTTCTTCAGCTTCCTCTGGCGAGGCAAGCCAATCATCCAGCGACGAGGAGACGTCCATCACAAGTCAATCAGATGAGGATGGAGAGGAATCAAAGCCTTGGACGAGCACCAAATCCGTGCCGCAGTTCAACTTTCGCCCGTATTCGCCATCTACGGAGTTGATCTATCCCCCCGCCTTGCGCAAATTCGTGCACCTGCCGATCTGCTATGGCGATGAGAACAAGGTCTGGCTTCGGCCGGTCAAGTTGCAGCAGTTGGTCGAATTACTTGCCGCCTATCCCTCTGCGAAACTTGTCAGTGGGGCCAGCGAGGTACAGATCGAGGTTCGTTTCAAGGCGTCAAATTATCCAGTCTCGGTTTTTATCGGTGACATCGACGAGCTCACGGCCATATCGGTGCCGGAAGATGTGACGACGATGAAGGAGATGGTGATTGGCGGCAATACGTCCCTGACGGATATCGAAGCCGTGTGTTCGGATTTATCATCGAAGCTGGGTCTCCGGGGCTCGGTATTTGGGGCGATGGCCAAGGTGCTCAGATACTTCGCAGGACGTCAGATCCGGAATGCTGCGTCACTGGCAGGTAACATAGCTACTGCCTCGCCGATCTCAGATATGAATCCTGTGCTCATGGCGGTGAACGCCACCGTTGTGGCGCTCACCGCAAAGGAAGAGGTCTCTCTACCAATGGCTTCCATGTTTCAAGGCTACAGGAAAACGTCCCTGCCTCCTGGGAGTGTCATAACCCGGATTCAGATCCCGATACCCGCCCCTGGGGTGATGGAACTCACAAAGTCCTACAAGCAATCCAAAAGGAAGGAGGATGACATTGCAATCGTCACCGCTGGATTTCGGGTCAGACTCAACGAAAAAGGTATTGTGGAAGACGTATCCTTGGCGTACGGTGGTATGGCTCCTGTGACGCTGTTGGCTACGGACTGCGCCAAGTTTTTGATCGGGAAGCAGTGGAAGTCTTCCCAGACACTGCAGGGAGCCCTTAAGACTCTGGAGCAGACATTCCAGCTTCCGTATGGGGTTCCTGGAGGCATGGCCACTTACCGGAGGACGTTGGCTCTGTCCATGTTCTTCCGCTTCTGGCACGAGGTCATTGCAGAGATTAAGCTGGGCGAAGTTGACCCAGGCCTAATTGAGGAGATTCACCGTAGCGTGTCGTCCGGCACAAGGGACAATTATAATCCACACGAGCAGAGAGTGGTGGGCAAGCAAATTCCTCACCTGTCGGGTCTTAAACATACCACCGGCGAGGCAGAGTATCTCGACGACATGCCACATCACGATCGCGAGCTTTACGGAGCGCTCGTTCTGTCCCAGAAAGCGCATGCGATTATCAAGTCGGTTGATTGGAGCCCTGCTCTCAAGCCTGGACTGGCTCTTGGATATATTGACAAGAATAGCATAGACCCCGAAAGGAATAGCTGGGGAATGATCAAGGATGAACCCTGGTTTGCAACAGACAAAGTTTACTCTCATGGTCAACCGATTGGGATGGTGTACGCCGAAACGGCGCTGAAGGCGCAAGAAGCTGCTCGCGCTGTCAGGGTCGAATACGAAGAGTTGAAGCCGATCCTGACGATCGATGAAGCCATTGAGGCGAAGAGCTTCTATCCCTATGGCAAGGAACTCCGCAAAGGGGCTCCTCCAGAGGAAATGGCGCAGGTATTTGCGAAATGTGATCGTGTTTTCGAGGGCGTCAGCAGAGTGGGTGGACAGGAACATTTCTACCTCGAGACGAATGCTGCCATGGTCATTCCTCATGCGGAGGATAATTCGATGGAAGTTTGGTCTTCTACCCAACACACGTAAGTGCCTAAATAAATCATGACAGCAGGCATCTGCTGACTCTGTGCAGGATGGAGATCCAGGAAACGATTAGCCGTGTAACTGGCATACCAAGCAACCGCATCAACGCCAGGGTCAAGCGGATGGGCGGCGCGTTTGGAGGGAAAGAGTCGCGGAGTGCTCAGCTTGCGGGATTACTGGCGATCGCCGCGATGAAAGAGCGTCGACCGATGAGGGCGATGCTGAATCGTGATGAAGACATGATAACCACCGGCCAGAGACACCCAATTAAATGCCGGTGGAAAGTGGGAGTAATGAACGACGGTACACTTGTGGCACTAGAAGCGGATTGTTACAACAACGCCGGTTATTCGCTCGACATGAGTGCGTCTGTGATGGATCGATGCATGACGCACATCGACAACTGCTACCAGATTCCCAACGTGCACATTCGCGGCTGGGTCTGCAAGACCAACACCCACAGCAACACCGCCTTCCGTGGGTTCGGGGCTCCCCAGGCGATGTTTTTCACTGAAACCTTTATGAACGCCGTTGCGGAGGGGCTAAATATGGATATCGACGAGCTGCGATGGAAAAACCTGTACAAACAGGGGGATCGAACGCCATTCTTGCAGATGATCGATGAGGACTGGCACATTCCCATGTTGCTGGAGCAGGTGAGAAAGGAGGCTCGGTACGACGAGCGAAAGGCCCAAGTGGCGCAGTTCAATTCGCGAAACAAGTGGAAGAAACGGGGCATCTGTCTGATTCCGACCAAGTTTGGGCTGTCGTTCGCAACGGCATTGCATCTCAACCAGGGCGCGGCGTCAGTCAAGATCTACACCGACGGCACCGTGCTTCTCAACCACGGCGGCACGGAGATGGGCCAGGGACTCTACACCAAGATGTGCCAGATTGCGGCGCAGGAGCTCAATGTCCCCTTGGAGAATGTGTATACTGCAGATACGTCATCGTATCAGACGCCAAATGCTTCCCCTACGGCTGCCTCGTCGGGCAGCGACCTCAACGGCATGGCGATCAAGGACGCGTGCGACCAGCTGAACGAGCGACTGCGCCCGTACTGGGAGAGATTCGGGCCCAAGGCGGATTTCAAGGATATTGTCCAAGCCGCGTACAAGGACAGGGTGAATCTCGCTGCGACAGGACACTGGAAAATGCCGCGGATTGGGTATCAATTTGGGAATTACGATCCAGAGACTGTCAAGCCGATGTACTACTACTTCACTCAGGTAGAAATAACCATTTCTTTTTCCGTGTTGAATTTGGATAGTAAGCGATTTGACTGACATTGGATGTGAAGGGTGTTGCCTGCACCGAAGTCGAACTCGACCTCCTGACAGGCGATCACACGGTGCTGCGCACAGATATCAAGATGGACGTTGGCCGCTCCATCAACCCGGCGATCGACTACGGGCAGATCGAAGGCGCCTTCGTGCAGGGACAGGGGCTGTTCACGATTGAAGAGTCTCTCTGGACGAACGACGGCAGCGGGCAGCTCGCGACTCGCGGACCGGGGACGTACAAGATCCCTGGCTTCAGCGACATTCCGCAGGAGTTCAACGTCAGTTTCCTACAGGGGGTGTCGTGGAAGAGCATCCGTTCGATCCAGAGCAGCAAGGGTATTGGCGAGCCGCCGCTGTTTCTGGGGTCGACGGTGCTGTTCGCATTGCGGGAGGCGCTGCGCAGCGCGAGGGCAGACAATGGTGTCACTGAACCTCTGCTCCTGGACTCGCCGGCGACAGCGGAGAGGCTGCGGTTGGCCGTAGGCGATGCCCTGGTCAAGATGGCTACTGTCACGCCAAAGCCTGGCGAGAAGCCATTCTTCCTGACTGTGTCGTAGCCCCAGCGTATACTTGCATGAAATCTGGAATATATAGTCAAGTATATAAGCGCTCGAGTCTATACGAATTCTTTGTCTATTTCAAAGGCATTAATTAGGAAGGAAGAAAGGAGTGATAAGGTGAATTATAGCATAACACTTTCGGGCAATAATTGATATGAGATGAAATGAAATGAAATCAGACATGAAGGATATCAACATAACATGACAGGCCAGCCAACCCTAATTAATATCTATCTACCTGTATTGAATTCTCATAACCATAACAATAACATAACTCATTCTGGGTTTGGATATTTATATCTACGTAGATAGATAGGTTGCATTTTAGAATGCCAAAAAAGAAAAGGAAAGAATAGTAACACGAAACTAGTAAGGAATAAATATATGTCTATTGAAGAAGACCGAAATGATGAAAAAAATCTTTCTTTCCTTCTCTTTTCCAATACGATAGCAAATTATTTATTTACAATCGATTAGCCCTTCAAAAACCTCCCATAATACCCCTCCACCCACCTCCCTGCCTCTTCGCCTGCGTTGCGACCGCCAGCCGCACCAAAGACATTCATGCTCCCGACATACCCGTCCGGGCGGACATTGACGATGGCTACCCGTTTCCCCTCGGTCAGGAAAGCAGAACCGAGATATGTCTCCGTACAGCTCTTTGGCTGGGTTGTGATGTCGTCGAGGTAGATTGTCCACCGACTGGCCTGGAGGAGAGGGTGGAGGACATGTGGCGAAGGGGAGGAGGATGATGACGAGGGCAGCGAGGAGATTTCAAAGTCCTGTTTCTTTGTGCGCGTGACGAGCGCGTAGGTGAAGAGTTTGGATACCGTCGTGTATCGCTCCGGGTAGGTGGTGAACTCGTCCGAAGGAGATCGACGAGGAGGTTTGGCGGCGTAAGACGTCTCTGCCCTGGCCGAAGCGCGCGACAGCAGCGACGACGGCGACGACAGATACGCGCAGAGCGAGTCCAAAAAGTCCTTTGATGCGTTGATGTCCGGTGCAAAGATATAGATCCGGAATTGGCTCAGCATGGGGATGTCCAGCTGCAGATGGACTGGGTTGGCGTCGATGTAGCGCGTCACTTGCGTCGGGGGCGTGAGGATGGCGCCTGGTTTGAGGGAGCCTGTGAAGCCGGAGCCATCTTGCAAAGATAGTGGCTGGTTTAGAATATTAGGAGCGTATTCAGCACCCACGCCAGCGATGAAGCGGATGTTCTCGTGGAAATTCCGCGCCAGAGCCTCGTCGCCGTCCGCAAACGCCTTGACGTGCTCCGCGTCAAAGTTGATCAGGTCCTGTGCGATCTTGCGTCGTTCGTCCTCGTAGGTCGCCAGAAGCTCTGGGACGGCCAGATCCCGGATGACGAGGTTGAGCTTCCAGGCGAGGTTGAAGCTGTCGTGAATGCTGGTGTTGGCGCCTTGGGCGGCCAGGGCGGAGTGGCAGTGGCCGGCCTGTCGTCATATTAGCTATTGATCAGCCGGAGGCTTGTTCATGAACGCATACATCTCCCGCAATAAAAAGATGTAGTCCAGGATCGGCGAAGTGGTTGGCCACTCGCTGGCCGACGACGTAGTTCCCAAACCACTCTACGAAATCAGCACTGAATTTTTTTCAGACAACTATGTCGGGTGAGATATGTTCGTCCTACCAATGCTCTTCCATTCCAGGTGATATGGCGCCATGACCTGTTTAGCCCTGTTCATGACGTACTCCGGCGTGGCAATGGACTTGTCGATGCGATCGCCGTCTGTCGGGCTAAGTTCGACGTACAGACGGGTCATGTTGCGTTCTCGAGGGATCCACAGAATCGAGGTGCCGTCGTGGGAGCGCACTGCCGTTTTACTCCATAGATCTGGGAAATCCGTCTCGATGACACCTGAGAAGATCATCTCAGCTTGATCTGCAACCTTGCAGGAGCGCGATATTCTTACGCACCGTCTAGTACCCCCCACGACGCATTGGTCACTTCTCCAATGAGCTTTGCCCCGGGAATGAAAGCCCGAACTTTAGAGCGAGCACCATCACACCCGATCAGATAGTTTGATTGAATGGTCTTTGTGGTCTGGTTGGCCCGGTCTTCGTAGACGACATCAATCAAGGACTCATTGCTCGGTGCCTCCGCTGCTGCCGAACACTCAACAAAGGGGCTGTTTCTTGTGACCTGGACACCGCGCTCTTCGATGTCCTTTATCAGAACTTCCTCCAGCATTCCCTGATGGGCGAGGAGGATATAAGGATCCAGAGCTCCGACGAGATGGTCCGGATAATGGATCTGTCGGCCTGTCCGTCGAAGGGGGCTGGTTGGTGTGCTCTCCTAGAAACATAATTAGTATAACTACCTTCAGCGAAGGTTAATGACATGCCCAGAAACAAATATCGTAAACTTTCACCGCGTCCCTTAACAGCGGATATGCGAGTCGGAGTTGTTTGAAGGTCTCGATCGTCTTTGGCTGCATTCCATCTGCCCTGCCGGTCGACGTCCTGTCTGGCCGGTCGTCCAGAATGACGGTTTTGATGCCGTGTCGGACCAGATTGCAGCTATGCACTAGCTTAGCATGTGATTTATATGAAGAACATGGATGGAGGAACACAGAAAAAGAGAACCTACGCAAGCATTAATCCAGATGGCCCTGCTCCCACGACTGTCACGTCGACGGGTCCGCCATGGGCCACCTGGGCGTCGTGATCCATGAAGCCTTCGTCGTCAGCACCAGGAGCCATGTTGCTGTCTGCGTCCTTGTTCGTGTTAATAATTTCCAGCTGGGCCTGCGACAAAGTCCGCTTCATTGCGGGAGAATACGCCCTTCTAGCCGGGAGAGCTGTGTTATGTATATGTTATGTGTTTGCGGTTCTGATCGTCAAGAGCCATCGTATGGCAACCCCAATTTTGCATCTGAGGACACCTATTTCCGGGGAAAGCAATCTTTGTTGCTTGTACGTGGGTGGCATCCTGTCTGTCACTGATGGATGGGGTTGAGAGGGGCCGTGTGCATAGCGTGGAGAAAGTGGGAGGCCCGTGACAGTAGCATCCCACTTTCGAGACAGCTCAATCTGAATCCCGAGCTGGCTTCCCATTTAGTTAGCTAGCTTATATAGTTAGAAACTGGTTACTTGTTCGGTGATGGATAACAAGAATAGCGATAGTTGTCCTACTGCCGAGATCGCCGCAGAGAGGGGAGAGATGAGGGGCTGCAGGCCGGAGATCTATCTCCATCGGAGAATCGCCGAAGTTTCTATTAGCTATATTAGTTAGTTCCACGGGCATGATTCCATGTCTCCTGTTGCGGTAGAATAGTGATCTACATATCTAGAGCAGTGAGAGCGAGGACAGTTACCAGTCGCCGTCTTGCAAATCAAGTAACTGAATAGCCAACATGGGAAGCATCTATGCACACACCCAAACTTGGCAGGATATTGTAGCACAGAAGCGCGCCTTGCGAGACGAAGCATTGAAACCGTATCTGGTGGACGATTTAGAGTCTCGCGCGCCGAGGGTGGACAATGTCGCTAAACGGTCCATCATCGAGTCCGATCCCAAAATCCAAAAGATCACCGACATCGACAGTATCCCTGTTCTGCAGCAGTGTTTGAGTCAGGGGGAATTCACTGCTGAGGAGGTCATTTTGGCGTATATCAAGAGGTTGGTAGGCGCAATTATTCTGTGATTTTGTTTTTCATGAGATAATCGATCTGACAGTATGCCGGAAATATTCCAGGGCAACGGTTGCGCATCAGCTGGTGGGCTTTACCCATACAAAGTGGAATTAATGAAAAACGTGCCGATACTGATCCTCAATACTAAGACAAACGCGATTACCGAAGTGATCTTTGACGATGCCTTGAAGCAAGCCCAAGAGTTGGACCGAGAATTCCAAGCAACCAAAATGGTCAAAGGTCCGCTGCACGGCATCCCTGTCACGGTAAAAGACCAATTCAACATTAAGGGTTATGATTCCACCTTGGGCTACGTTGGTCGTTCCTTCAAGCCTGCCGCGGAAGATGCGGTTATTGTTCAGATATTGAAGGATCTGGGAGCAGTTGTCATTGCCAAGACGAATCTTCCTCAGAGCATCATGGTATGAATCAAATCTTTCATTTCTTCTTTATTACTCTTGCTGTTGAGCTTGTGCTGATTGCGTAGTGGTGTGAAACTGAAAACCCCCTCTGGGGCTTGACGGTCAATCCACGAAATCCTGACTTCACTCCTGGAGGTTCCACTGGCGGAGAAGCTGCTCTTCTCGCACTGCATGGCTCAATCCTGGGCTTGGGCACTGACATCGGCGGGAGTGTCAGGATCCCACAGAATATGATGGGATTGTACGGGTTCAAACCGAGTGTGAGTTCATCTGCCTACCACCAAGAGAATGACCTGCTCATCTTTTGCAGAGCAGCAGGCTACCGTACCAAGGCGTTCCCGTCTCGACCGAAGGACAGGAACACGTTCCCTCCGCGGTGGGGACGATGGCCCGGGATTTATCAACTGTCTGCTACATTAGTCGGTTGCTCGCAGACAGCAAGCCGTGGACGATGGACCCGCGATGCAGCCCGCTTCCGTGGAATGAGGCCGCGTTCCAGGAAATCCAGTCCAGACCATTAGTTATTGGCTTGATTACGGACGATGGCGTCGTGAAGGTCCATCCTCCAATTGAACGAGCGCTCAGAGAGGTCTCTGAGGCGCTAAAAGCGCAAGGACACGAGATCATTTCCTGGGACACGTCCGATCATAAGGAATGCATCGAGATCATGGATCTCTATTACACCGCAGACGGCGGCGAGGATATCCGTCGTGACGTGGCCGTGGCTGGCGAGCCGTTCATTCCCCACGTGGAGGCCCTCGTCAACAGAGGCAAACCCATCTCCGTATATGAATATTGGCAGTTGAACAAACGCAAGGTCGCCGTCCAGAAACGGTATCTGGACAAGTGGAACGCTGCTCGATCGCCATCCGGCATACCTGTGGACGTGCTTCTGTCTCCAACAATGCCCCATACGTCCGTACCTCATCGCTCGTGCCGCTGGGTGGGATACACGAAAGTGTGGAACATCCTCGACTATCCTGCCATTACTTTCCCGGTGGATATGGTTCGACCGGAGAAAGACAGGTTGCCAGAGGACGCGCCAGCATACACGCCGCGGAACGAACTCGATGCGTGGCACTGGAGTCTTTATAATCCGGAGCAGATGGCGGGCCATCCTGTTAACCTGCAAGTGATAGGACGGAAACTTGAGGAGGAGAAGGTGTTAGGGGCAGTGAGCGTCATTGAAAAGGTTTGGAAGGAAAGTAAAAAACAATAGAGCATGGACGCAACAAGTAAGGATAAACATCTATATGATGTTCTAATTATAAGTTTAAATTCGAAACTACCACTTGGTTACACCGCCGTCTACCAGGATATCCTGTCCGGTCATGTAGGAGCTTGCATCGCTGGCGAGAAAGACGCATGCTCCTCGGATGTCGTCTGGTTCAGCGACCCGGCCATTCATGATCTCATCTTTCCAGCTCTCTAGAAGATGGGGGAACTGTTCGATCTAATTAGCTTTGGATCCAGTTAGAAAGTGTGATCGTGCTTACACCGGCTGTCATCTCCGTCCGGACGTAGCCTGGGGAGATAGAGTTTATTCGGATGCCCTAATGGATATTCCCGTATCAATACACTTCTATTTTTATGCAGTGAAGAAAGTCGGTTTACTCACATGAGGCGCCAACTCTTTGGCGATAGCTGGAACCATAGCTCGAACAGCGCCCTTGCTCGCGCAGTAGGCACTGCTAAGCTGGCTGCGCACCGCCATGTAGCTGGCAATGCTGGCCACCATGATAATGCTGCCATGCTTGGTGCCGTTGGCTATCATCTGCTTGGCTGCCAACTGGGCGGTGAAATAGGCGCCCATGACGTTGGTCGACAGCAGATTCTGGTGTTCTTCGTAAGTGAATTCCAGGAAAGGAATGTGACGGTTGATACCGGCACAAGGGACGCAGATGTCGAGAGCATTGTTGAAATCCTTGCTGAACTTGGAAAAGCCTTCGCGGAGAGACTCCTGAGAGCTGACGTCGACTCTAGGCATAGCAATTGGATGCAATAAGCATGGTACCGCTTGAGCTGAGTTGAAATGGCGGCATGGCTCACTGGTAATGTGCCGTCTTCACACCGTATTTCTTTTCTATGTCGAAGAATTCCGGCACGGGAGGGATGATGTCGAAGATGGCCACGTCTGCTCCGGCTTCTGCCAGCCCTTCAGCGAAAGCAAGGCCGCAGCCACGGGCGCCACCGGTGACGAGGGCCGTTCGCCCTTTGAGAGAGAACTGTTCCGTCAGCAGATTTCTCTGAATAATGTCTGCATGGTTCTTACTCTGGACATGGCCTTCGATAGCAAGAGATAACAGGACCATGAAGTAGATTGAACCAAGTTGCTGCGTACGCGTGCATCTCTTTGTAAACTGCAAGAGGCCTTCTGCTTAAAAGCCTCAAGAGAAGTTCCCAGAGGCTTCCGATCCACTTACTTCTACGGCAGCGACGTCGCAGCCATGCACAAGGAAGGAGCGTTGCTGCTGTCCACTCTTCGACCCCCACTTCTCGTCCACCTGCCTGCGCAGCCCTAGACCCTGGCCCTAAGCCCTAAGTCTGCCGGATCTGGGCAAAGGGGAGGAGGGGCGATAAGACTGGCGAGTGGGGTTGGTGGGCCGGGATCAGGGCGATTTACGCAAAGCAATCGATTCGACTGCAGTCATTGATTGCTATCGGACGTGCACGCAGCGTGTGCGGGGAAAGCCCAAGCAGCTAGCTATCGCCCTCCCCTCCCCTGGGCCAAGGATAGCAAGCTCCGGCATCGCGTGTCGGGAACGACAAGATGTAGATGGATCCGAGCGCGACTTCGCTTTACTAATTGCCCCTTTATCTAGCGGATCTTGTCCGTCGGAGTTCTCTCCTCATCATCGTTCTGGTCTCTACAGTCACCTCAATCAGAATATCTCGCGCTTCCTGTCTGTCTCTCGTACAAAGCACAATGGGCAAAAAAAGAGTGCTCGTCGGATACGGAGTCGACATTGACGCCGTTGCAGGCTGGTTGGGGTCTTACGGTGGAGAAGACAGTACGAATGATATCAGCAGAGGTACTGATATTATGCCACTGTACTACTGCTCTGGCAATGCTGATGGAATCAGGTCTATTCGCCGGTCATGTCGGGACCATGCGGCTGCTGAAGCTGTTTGAAAAGTACAACATCAAGGCGACCTGGTTCATTCCTGGTCACTCCCTGGAGACATTTCCCGAGGAATGTGCCGCCGTTCGGGATGCAGGACATGAGATCGGACTGCACGGCTACAGCCACGAGAACCCCAGCGACATGACGCTCGAGCAGCAGCGGGACGTCCTCGACAAGACGTACCGGATGCTCACTGATTTCTGCGGCAAGCCTCCGCGTGGCATTGTCGCGCCATGGTGGGAGACCAGCAAGGAGCAGACGGAGCTGCTGCTGTCGTATGGGATCGAGTACGACCACTCCATGTCCCATCACGACTGCCAGATGTACTGGCTGCGCACGGGCGACAGCTGGACCAAGATCGACTACAGCAAGAAGGCGGAAGAGTGGATGAAGCCGTTGATCCGGGGTAAGGATACAGGGCTGGTCGAGATTCCAGGCAACTGGTACATTGACGATCTGCCCCCGATGATGTTTATCAAGGGGAATGCCAACAGCCACGGCTGGGTTAATCCACGCGATATCGAGGATATTTGGAAGGTAAGTACTTGCGAGTCGTTAAGAATGCGGGCTGCTGACCGGAATAGGACCACTTTGACTACTTTTACCGGGAATACGACGAGTTCATCTTTCCCATGACCATTCATCCTGATGTCTCTGGGCGTCCACACGTCCTGTTGATGCATGAGAGGTGAGTCATCCATCTCCTTTCTCTTTCCTTTCTAGACTAACGACTGTAGAATCATCGAACACATCAACAAGCACGAAGGCGTCGAGTGGGTGACCTTTGAGCAGATGTGCGACGAGTTCAAGAGCAAGAACAAGCCTCCGGAGGGTGCTCTGATGCCAGCGGAGCGTGGATCGGTTTTGAAGAAGTGACTACGGTATAAAGTGAATTTGTGTACGTTTCAAGCCTAGGATAGTACATCAATGAAATCGTATGAATTAGCTCTACGTCTGTCGATCTGACAATAAAAGTAGCATCGTCCACGATCTACAATTCAATTCATGCAAGGAAACCCATATCTAATCTCAACCATTAATCCACAGATACGGAAAAGTCATCTGATAGATAACAACCAAATTGAAACCAATCAACCCGACCAGAAGAATTAATTCACTCCTATCGAATCGATATCGATAGGATAGAGCCCATGCCACTAAGGATAAAAAAAAGAAGGAGATAAATAAACCTCATTGACCTCGTACAATGAATTACCTAAAAGTTAATAATCAACGATAATGGGAATCTATCTGAGTCTGTACTACAGTAGCCCCACTACTACCCCTCCAAGTGCGTTCGTTCAGTGTCGTGTTGTTATCGCTTATCTAAATGCCACACACTGATACGTATGTGTACAGTACATACACACAGAAACAACACCCCCACTCTTGTACTGTAGGCCCCCCAACCTTGGGCACAATAAATGTACCTCCTCTTAGTAGTACAGACAGTGCATGCACAGCACTCGATACAATACGAGTCTTACAATTCTTACTTCATTAATTAGCCAGAAGAAAGATACCCGGTATGTGCCAAGGACTTTTGACCCCCGGACAGATGTACTACACATACCTTTACTATAAATAAAAACATAACATCAATTTCCATTTTTGCACATTTTCACGTTTAAATATTAGATCAGGGATAATGGAAGGAGTTATGGCAAAACAAAAAATTATAGCAAGGGATAGAAGTCATGTAAGAATTATATGTGTATCGATGGAATAATTTAATAAATAAAGGGAAGTAGTTATGGCTGGATACCTGTCCAGGCTTGACGCTTTGTCTTTTTACATCATTATTGGGAGTTTCTTTTTCTTAACTGCCATTCCTGCATTGCTTATGAGTAGAGTACGACATGAGTGCGGTCGAAGAGGTAGATTGATCATCTTCAATGACGATGGGTGATGAATGATTGATTCAAAGACAGTTGCATGTCCTTAAGGCCAAGGCAAATCCTCATGAACCACGTGAATCCAATCCATTGGTGAGCAGATCCATGGGCATGGATACACCTATACCTTATTTTGTCGACTCTCGACATAAGAACGTCAGTCTGATATATTTCTGACATGCTTCTGCACTAAATCAAACCGATCTACATGATAACCAAATCATACCTCGTATCTTCTAGACACCGATCTACTGATCTACAAGTTAGGACTGATACCCCCTTCGTCCCTCCGCCTCCTACCGCTCTTCACATTTTCCGCCAGCCAGTTCTTCCAGACGTCCTCGATGTCGTTCTCGTAGATCCAGCTGAGTTCACTGCCCTCGCTAAAGGATGCCACCCGGGCGTGCAAGACGTCTTCGAAGCTCTTGGCCGTGGCCTTGGCGGCTAGCTGCTTTTGCTTCTGGTTGTCCAGGTGTTGGTACCTATGAATAATATTAGTCGATGGTCGAGCTGGAGATAGATAGATAGATTGGGATGTATGTACATACATTCGGAGGTAATATGGCGACCTGATCGAGTCAAATATAGCCAGTGCCTCGCGAAGGGCTTGCTGTCGAGAGCGAGTGCTATAAATTGTATGCTCGAGGGCCCGGGCCAGGATCCATCCATCTTCCAGGGCAAACGCTGCCCCAGAACCAAATGCACCTGTGGATAATACTCAGTATGACTGATAGACTTGCAGAGTAGAAGGTCCGACATACCGGTCAGCGGATGGCTGGCATCCCCGATCAGCACGAGCCTGTCCCACGCCGTCAGCGTCTCCAGCCTGGGTCCTGCGAAGGCGGCAAATTCCTTCCAGTCGCCTTCAGGGACTTTGGACAGGGTCTCCCGGACTCGGGGATCGTAGTCCTGACAGCATAGTCAGCAGTTTTGCTTGTGATTGCCCTTTGTTTACAGCGTGAAATAATACCGTGAAATGCGCCTCGACCCTCTCCTTCGTCGCGGGAATCCCCCAGCTGTACCGTCTTTCCTTGTCGGTCTCTGGATCGACGAGATAGCGCACCGAAATCTCGAACAGTTGGTCCTCTGGAGCGATCTCTGACGGGTCGTCGACGGGGGAGAAGTACGCATGGCCGGCAGGGCCATGCCACCAGGAGGTGGATTTGGAGATGTCGGGGAGGTGCGCAACAAGGGCTCTGCGGATGAGGACACGCCAGATAGTGGTTCCTATGAATTAAGTATCAGTATAGGAAACAGGAAAAGGCATGATTGCACAACCTGTGAATTTAATCTTGTGGTCTGGAAAAGCGTGTTCCCTTACGACCTTATCAACGTCAATCATCAAGTACATGTACTCCAGGCAAACAGAATAGACAAACCGATCGAATGCCATCTGCTCCCACGACCATATCGGCCGTTGCTTCTGTCCCATCGGCAAAGAAAAGACGAACGCCTCCGTCTGGAAGATTCTCTAGCGACGTGAGCCGCTTGCTCAGATGGATAATGCCTGGAGGGACCTGCTTGCGCAGAGCAGACTGAAGACGGGTCCTTCGAACGCGTTGCGGGTGGTACTCGAGTGGCAGCGAAGAGGGTCCTGTTCTGAGCAGGACATTGCCAGTCAGGCCATTTCTGTATATTAATTAGTATCTACGTCGATAATGAGCGAAATACAGGTCGAAAGGTCACAACTCTAGAAGAATAGAAGAAGAAATACACAAACATAGCATGCAATAACAATTGTTAATCTACGTACTGCATACATACCGATGCAAGACCTCAGTCTTCCGATGTCCCTTCACATCTGCGTCTGCCCCAAGCAGCTCCAGCACTCGCCAGCAATTATATCCAATGCGGATGCCGGCGCCGATTTCGCGCAGCTCTCGGGCCTGCTCGTACAAAGCAAGCTCAACGTTGGGTAGGGCAGAGAGCGCAATTGCTGCACCGAGACCGCCAGGGCCGCCTCCGATGATGGCGATCCGGAGGGGATGGATCATGTCAGTCATTATTTATTGCTGCACGAGCAGAGCTGGGGAACAAAAAAAAAGAAAATTGATTGACTTACTCTGGCTACTATCGATAACTAAGATATATGGATACAGTGATACGGAGATAAGATCGTTGCGTCAGGCATGACGTGCTTGGCGAGGCTTGTGGCGTTATCGACTTAACTAGTAGTGTCCGAAAAAACAATACACTTTATGTCAACTGAAGGAGATGAAGACTTGAAGGAGGATGGATTCAAGTCTGAACAGCGTGCTGCGATGATCTTAACCCTAGCCCTGGGCCCTAGCCCTAAGGCCTGTACGGGAGTCCAGCTGAGACTGCAGTTGCAAGCACATCTCTTTCTCCCTACACTAACAGACGGAGAACCAATCCAGGTCTACAGCAAAGCATTCGAATGGCAGCAACCAATCATGCTTGGATTACATAGTAGGACAACTCGGATAAAGAATCCTCCGCGGAATGTATGTACGACAGGTCACATCCGACACATCAACATACATGTACTGTACTGTACATGTAGTGTGTTGTTTATTGTTTACCATTGTTATGCGCTGGGCTGACCTGAGTGACAGATACTCAACATTGGTGGTTAGGGAAGGTTTACAGATCTAATCTAGGATCTCATATAGTGATCAACTCCAAGTAGTTAATAAATAAATAAGTAATTAGGGTCTTTAAGTAATCAAAAAATATAAGTAACTAGGTCAGGGCAATACCTATTAGAGCTATACCATAAGGTATACTAATAGTAGTAAGATATCTTACCGACCTCCAAGTAAGTATCTTAGTAAATATTAAGTGCAAGGTAGAAAGACTAGATATATAAGTAGAAATAAATGCCCTTTTATGTTCCTTCTTGGTCATACTATTCTATATACCTCTCTATATACTATTTTGGCCTCTCCCTTAGTCTCCCTGATATACCATCTAATATACCATTCTTTCTTGACTTATGGTCCTTCCCATGGTATATGTACATGTCTTAATCACGTGATCTTTTAGATCCTTGTCTCTGTCTTGCGGGGTATTGTTTCATCGTGCATCACTGTGTTGGACAGCGTCCCATTTTGTTGGTCTGTAACAACCATCTACCAGACTGTATGGACTTTTATCATCCTGTGTAGTTACCATGTGACGGCACTACTGTACATTACCTCCTGAGCATCGACTGCCGAGCTGTCTCCAACATGTCGAAAAACTCCCTTGGAAAGAGGTAAGTGCTTCCAAACAGAAGGGAACGAGAAACTAATCAGTTGAAGTACTTTGACTGGCGGCATCGCGAGCATCAACGTCGGTCCCAACGAGACCCCTTTCGATGTCCATTTGGAGCTGATCTGCGACTGCTCGACCTACTTCAACGCGCTCTTTGAGAGCCGTTTCACCCAGCCCACGACACAGCCTGTCTTCCTGCCGGATGACGATCCAGATACCTTTGCTGAATTCCTCCAGTGGGCGTACCGCGGGAAGATCTTCGAGGATGCAGCACCTGTGACGTGGCTACAGCTGTGCGAGCTGTGGGTGCTGGCGGGGAAGCTGGGGGCGCCGAAACTGCAGAACCTGGTGATGGAGCACTGCCGGCGCAAATATGACGAGCACGACAGACATACGGCGAAGAGATGGGACGTGGTCGAGTTCGTGTACCGGAAGACGGCCATCGGCAGTCCTCTGCGGAAGATGATGGTGGACCTCTGGCGGGTGGATATGGACAAGGTATCCTTCGAATTTGTCAAGGGGGACGTTCCTCGGTTGTTCCTGGAAGATCTGTGTCTGGCATTTTTGGAATGCAGAGAGCCGGACTGGCGGATAGACTTTGGACGGTATTTGGTGGAGGAGTCTCGTAGGAACTTGTCAACAAGACTAGGACCATCAAAGGACGATGGCTTGTCTTCGATCCCGCAGATGGCGTCTCCCCAGCAGATGGCCAGAAGGAAGGTCAAGCCGGCGAAATTTCGCAGACGGCCTGGTCAAACACCGTCTCCTTCGCTGGGCATCAACACGCCTCCGTCGGGTGCAAGCGTTCAAGGGGATGATCTTGCGAGGCAGGTAGAGAATCTGACACTGTAGACTCTACGTCATAATAAAATTCGATTAACACTATTCACGCTAGACTCAGCCCTATAGGAGGCGCAGTTGAGCGGGACGAACACTGCCATATCGTTCATCTGGCCGCTGACCTCAGGAACACCGAACACGGTGATCCTTCAGCCGGAGTAGTCCTGTTTCAGCCTCGCAGACACCGGAACACCGAAAAAGAGATCCTTCAGCCTCGGCGCTAAATCGTGCATAAAGCATCGCATCGAACGTTGGAATTGGGCCGTCACCCACGTGGAGGTTCTTGCCGCCAGGATCGACGAACTGCCCCTGACATACAGTAGTAGTACAGAAGTGTCCATATTCTAATTATAACGATCTGCAGAAAAGGACAGATTTCTGCACACATGGTAGATGACACATGACTGCGTGCATGCATATGCATGCATGAGACTACCAGCCTTATGACTCGTATTACACGAGGGGCGGGCGTGCTGCATACTTCGGTATCTTACTCCGTACACAGTTAGAGTACATAACCTACCGAGTACTCCACGCAGAGTTCTCCGTACTCACTCTGATTACTAATTTCTGACAGGGATGTAGATGTAACCCTACCTCTCGTCATCTTCTTAACCCTCCTCTTGGGACTGTAAGCAGACGGAGGATGAATAATCCAGCGGAGCCTGTGTGTACAGCGATGACATAATCCCGTCGAGCACAGTCCACCAATCATCCTCCGCAATCGGACCCATCCGTTCGTCCGGTCGGGCGGGAGGATCCACCCGGGCCCACGGGACGAGTTCCTAAATTTAGATTTAGCAGTGTTCTAGAAGGCCCGAAGAAGAATTTCCTGACTGCATGATCAGGCAGCCTTATTGTAATCCTGCAGAAAATACCCTGTATGCATGTACATACATTGTAGTCCTACAGTAGTTCTTTTTTTTTTGTTTTCGTTTCAGCTGGGACCTGCATCCGCACATGCATAGCCACAGAACTATGTACTTTGTAAAGAGAGAGCGCGGATTCGGACACTAAAAATCGATCAGTATCTACATGCGTGTAGAGTACATTATGGATGAATGCAAGTTGGACCCCATTTTCATGTTTATTCTTTCTTTCTTCTTTTTTATTTATTTTCATTTTTATGTCTCGGAGTTTTGTTCATGTCACACAGTGTAACCAACCAACCAACGAGCCAGCCAGCCAGCCAGCAAAGCCACCGGAGGAGAGTGTCATCAATCGACTGCTTAATAATTAGTTATCGTAGATAGCCAGTCAGTTCGAGAATTGAGTCGAGAACAAGAAAGAAAAAGGAAGGGCCAAATCTACTCTACCTGATCTATGTATAGTTAACGACGTACTCTCCGTTGTATGTACATGGTGATCATTGGACAATGCGACGCAGATCGTAATCAATCTATATACCATATCTACTGCGCCACGGTAGCATATGTATGTACATACATCGTATCTTGTATGTCCGTATGCACTCCGTAGGGCTGAACAATCACCAATCAGGCCCTGAAACAGGGTCCTTCCTATTCCGGTAAGGGTTCATGCCCAGCCACGGCCACACCAATCAATCCGCAATGCAAGGCGTGCTTAGTGACTGATTCAACTCGGATAAACCTGCATTGATGATTACTATCATTGAGTCATTATCGTGATCTGGAGGATCTTTAGTACATATTGTATTGTATCGTGTCAGCTTACTTACCATGTACTGTAATAAAACCCGAACTACATTATGTAATTCAACTGCCTGATGCATGCCTGAAAAGTGGTCTATAATGCAGTTTTCTACGCTCTTAGGTAAGTCTCTGCTTATCTAATTACTAGATAGAATTCGAGTATGGCTGTGAAACTGGCACATAGGACGCCTTGCTTGCCTTGAGGTCATGTTACCTAAGTACAGTACTGTACATATCTACCTAGGTATGTATCTACAGTACATGTTCTTATTCCAGGTAATAGTGGTACCATAGAAATTTATTTCCAGCACGACAAGGAATGGAAAACACTACCAGAATCAGTTAGACAAAGTCAAGAGCAGCAGAAACTGTGGCTGCCAACACAGCCTGAAACAGCTCCTGTTTACAGCCCGCAAGGTAGCATCCTCTATCGAGGGTTCCCTGCAGTCGGCAAGGATTTGTCAAAACCGAGACCAGTGAGAGTGCCAGTCTTGCATTTATGATTTTCCAACTCCGTGGGACGGGAACGACACCCGTGGTCTCTTGCCTAGGTACCTAGGTAGTTGAGTTTATCACGTTTAAGCCTAGGAATGTAATAGGGAGGTAATAACTTAACAAATTAAAAATCACAGCTGTAATCATTCGTAAGCATAGTATTGTAACCATAGTCAACTGATTCTTCTCTTTTTTTTTTCTCCGAAACAAATGGATAGCAGTGATCGCTGCCTGGCTAGGTTGAACACCCCCAAATTCGATCCGAGAATCAAGACATTTCCCCCTCATGACGCATGCAATACATCTGCATATGCATACGCATGCCCTGCATCGGCATGCTTGTCTATTGTTTGAAACAAACAAT